TCGATTTCCCAAGAACCCTTCTACTGAGTTTGCTCAAATTTTGTACTTTGCCGAGTAAAATTATGTTCCTTGAAAAAAACAAATTTCTAGATGTGTGAAAAATTATTTTTTATAATTGCTTTGTTTTATGCTTTTTAGGTATTTTAAAAAATAAAAAGGTAAATGATTTTCCGTGATGACCAATGCTGCTTTATTAACTGCAAGCACTTTTATCTGATTAGCCAAAAAACATGGATATCGATTAAGAGCTACATGCATCTCAAAACATTACAGAAATGTAAATGAATTATCATTTCTAATACATCTTTTAAGTTATAGTGCAGAGATCTGAATATTTTACGAAATATATCTTCACTATATCTTTTTTAATGTGGTAAAGCAAAACTTTATTCCCTATGTCACGTCACAAAGTAACCCCATTTTACCGTAAAAGTTTTGATAATTTTGATACAATTAAATCTGAAAATTCGAATTTAATTATTTGGTAAGTTGGAATAACATTCCCGGAAAACCGCGTGAAACATTGTAAGCACTTATGTATTGCAGTCATTTTTTCAGCAGCGGAGTGTAAGCACTTGTGTATTGCAGTCATTTTTTCAGCAGCGGAGTGTAAGCACTTATGTATTGCGGTCATTTTTTCAGCAGCGGAGTTATATCTTCAGCCAAAGACGGGCTAGATTCCGATTCACCCTTGCGACCTTTCCTTTTTCAGTAGTCTCAGTTCATAATAAAGTTTAATTTTAAATGAGTACGGTATGTCTTTTGAGTTCACGACAAAAAGCAGATTCCAGATTTTGCACTCTTTATTAAATCTCTCAACTAACGAACTTCCCTCATCTTCCTGTTGTAACAACATAATAATGCGTTTCGAATTTGATTTCTCCTTAACTTCGCAAAAACAGTAAGATTTTTGAAATGTAGTAATTTACCGAATTTATGCCATTTTTAAGTATTTTAATACAGCTTTCCAATTTATTTACAGTTTATAGAGGAATAATTTGGCTTCATATTTTTTCTAGTGAATGCCATTGATTTTTATAAATCAGTAATTCGACACCCATAAAATCTTTACAGCTCAAACTGAAGTTATAGAACATAATAAACGAGATAAAGGGAAAAAATGTCTAGAGTTTGACTTAAATCAATTGGGAAATTAAATTTTTAAGTTGCAAATCATTAATAAATCATTGCTTTCATTACCGTTAATGCTATTTTAATAAACCACGTATAGAATGCATCGAATATAAAGCAAGCACATTAAATGCATTTCATGTATTAATTCTAGTTACAAGTTTTAGAAATTTAAGTTCGAATACACCGGTAGTATTTAAAAATCTACATTTTCACTTGAACATTATTCAAGATGAAAGTAAGAAATTCAGAAGAAAAAAAAAAATGAAATTCAGCACATACAAACAATTAAAAGAACGTGTTTGGAATAAATTTCTCGCTAATTATTGATCTCCGAAACTGAAAACAAAGTAAATAAAGAATTAAGGCATTTATCATTTTCAAATTTAAAAAAAATAAAATCTGGTTTTGATCTACAAATTAAAAGATAAACTTCCGACAGGAATCTATTTCCGCAAGGCACTTTATTCTAGTTCCATTCAAGATGAAGATGAAAAAATGCCAGAAAATGGAACGCCCAGCACTCGATATTCCCTTCAGGCTTACAAACCACTTTCTCCTCTGAAATGAGGAAAAGTCGTTGACTCACATGTGCAACTTTCAATTTCGTTTGACCCACCCCAAGGGGATGGAAGTATGTGGAAATGTTTATCAGACCCCATATTTCCCCCTACATGTCCTCTTTACTGTGTTATTAGACTTTTTGGTAAAAAAGCAGCTCCCAACAGCTTCTAACAGCTTGACCAGGAAATCAACAAACTGATTTTTTTTAATCTATTTGCACGAGACCTCAATCAAAGAGTGCGCAGAACGTGATCTCTTTAATTCTGTTAATTGAGAGCAATCAATTTACCTAACTTTTGTTTTTAAGGTTTGGTTTCAAAGAGTAATAGTTTTGATAATCTAATTATCACCGAATGTTGAAAAATGAGTAAAATGTTTTGGAAGTAATAAATTAATGTACTGTGCATTTAATTCAACTAAAGTCATTTGATCTGATATGAGTTTATGCTATTTACCTTCAATTAAACCAAATTATTACCTTTTTGAAGTTATAATATGTATAACTAAAAATTTTATTAGTTTTATTAATTGATAAATCTTGACAGGATAGCGTCGGGGCTTGTTCATACATGCGTCTGTGGTTTTTAAGGAAAAACAAGGTATCTGGCATTTTTTGAGAATTTAATCTGCAATTCTCATATCATATACTTTCCTCTGACAGCACTGCTAACAAGAGTACCAATTTTTTCTAGAAGATATGAGTTATAAAAACATCAAAATGCGTAAAAAAGAAAAAATTTTCTCGTAAAATTAAATCGTCAATTTTGCTATTGCTAAGTGGATCGTATGCAGGGAAGGGGTTTAGTAGAAAGAAGAGGTTGTTTAAATTATCTTGACGACTACAATAATATTTTCTTAAGACTAACGTAATACTTAAGCATTATTTGGCCAATTTAAGCAAACTTATTTTAAATTTAGATTATTAAAATCGTAGGAACAATGCAAATTTAAAACTTAAATACGAAATAAGGGTATTTTAATAGAAAAATGAAAATAAAAAAGCAAATTACTAGTTATCAGTAACTATATCATTTGGTTGAAAGGTCAAATTATATTAAGTCCAATACTACTCAATAATCTTCATGAACAGACCCTTGAGAAAAAGAAACTCTTAAGCATCATTTTGATCCTAATTCAATGCTCTGGCATCTTCCTAAGCTCTGAAATTAATGCAAGAAGTTATTACACCTGAGTAACATGTTCAGTGAATTTCTTGTTTAAATGTTTCAGATTAGATTTAAATAACTTGATAATTATCTGTAATTACTTCTGTCTTTCATTACTACTTTGGTATAAATTGCAAAAATACGGCTTGTATTGTGATATGCATAAGTAAATAGTTTAAAGTACTTTTCTCAAAGCATATTGATGAATTTTAAAACTATTTCTCTTCAATTTTAAATTGTTTTAAATTTAATTATTTGGTTTGAAACTCATCAGCGTTAATTTCATAGCTTTTTTCATCAATAATTTGTAGTTTTATGGCCGACAACGATTTAAAAATCTTGGAATTATGCTTGATTGTCTTTGTTTCGCAGATATCGTTAAATGCATATATCAAACCCGAAAAATGTTTCTTGCGAACAGAAATTGTTTTAGTAGCTACTTACTGTTTCCTTAATTCACAAAAAACTTATAAAATAAGCATTTAAATTACTGCTATAAATACGATTTATTAATACATATTAAACAACGAAAACATAATTTAAAATCGAAATTTGTCCCACGAGGAGTTTACCCGAAGGTTAATCCTTTGACGCAAAATTTTTTATTAAACAAATTTTTGTTACTTTTTCCCTATTTTGTTATAATTTAGGTCAAGATATACGAAAAACACTATATTTAGCATTTCAATAATTTATGGTTAGGATATACAGCATGAAACACTGGAGTCTTTCTCTGAGCTAAAGGTAAAATTTTCCAAACACGGCTCACTTCCGAACAATAATTTTTAAAATTTGTACTTATTAGTAGCTTATTAATTCATCCTTGGATTTTTTTTAATTTGCAAACCAATTATTGAAATATTTCTGAATATGAATGAGAAAAATATTTCAAACTACGTTTTTAGGATTTTATATTTTAGTACAAATATAATTCCGATTATGTAATAGATTTTTAGTAACTACTAAACTTTTTTTTTTTATAGTTAACACGTTGAATGCCATGGGAGTCACCCTTGACCAGCGAAGCCAAGATTATTAGAAACTCATAATTCGAGTAAATTTTTAATGCTTTTAATTTTTTTTATAGTATCGTTACTAAAATGGTTTGAAAAAATTCACGCAATACATACTGAGAAAATCATTCTGGCCAGATCGGCAAGCCATATAAAATTAGCGTGGCATTCAACGTGTTAAAGAGTAACAAAATATATTTTTGCTTGTTATTAGAGCTCCAGGAAAAATATATAAAAGAGACACCAGTGTACCATGTGAGTCAAAGGAATAAATGCAGGTTCTGCAATCTGAAGGCACCAAACAGTTACTTTCCTCGTGTTTTGCTTATTTCTTTTCACAAAATATTTAGTTCATTACCTCGTTTGATTTCGTTAAATTATATAAGTAATAATGTTTGTGTTTGATTCATTGTAGCAGCCTTTGTTCTTATCCCTAAACTGAAACACATTATAAACGTTATAATATAAACCTATTATAAGCGTTAACTGCAGAATATTTAAGTTAGTTCATTGCAATAGCTAAAATGCAATGCAGAGTGGGAGATAAAAGAAATACTGATTGCTCAATTATTTAAGTTTTTGCCTTAAGATTGAGCAAAGAACAAAACACGTGGCTAAAGAATTTAATAATAGTTCAAATTCAAATATAAGTGAAAGTGCCAAATTGTTTTTTTTTCTTCTTTTTTTGAAATACTTCATTTAATAAGAATTGCCCTATATTTACTTAAATTAATGAGTCACTACAATCATATCTCCAGAGTACGATTTAAAAAGCAAACAATGCTTTCAGACCTCCACTTTAAATAAGGAACCTAGATTTCAACTTAACAAAGAAAGTTAAACAGGTGTGTCATAAAAATTCGTGAACTCATTTATAGTAAGACAGAAACAACTATTTCAGATTGCATTACTTTTCTTGAGATTGATGTGCAATTTACCTTGACATTGCAAAAATTAGTTCAAACAATTGCACTATCTAAATATTGTGGTTTTTGAAACCTTGTTTTTATTTTCATTTGGTTTGGCATGAGGTATCAAACTGTCAAAACTTTTAGGTCGCGGGGCGAGAAATTGACTAGTTTTCTGACATAAAACTGATTTCCCCACTGCGGTTTTCTCTTTACAGGTACAAAAATCTAGAGAGGCAAACAGTGGAGCTCCAAGACTCTGCAATGAATTTTGAAACCACCTCCATTCATGGCTTTTATGAAGGTCGATCAGTATTTATTACTGGTGCAACAGGATTTATCGGAAAGGTAAAGTGTCTTAACAAATTTCTAGGAAATGGCTTCCACAACTTCATAGGTTTAAAAAAATTTTAAATAAAATGCGAAAAAAAATTATCTTAATTTTCTTAAGTAAATGCTGAAGCAAAAATATTACCTGAAAAAAGTTTAAAATGTAATTCGTATGTGAAATAATAGTTGAAAAAAAAATTTTTTTCTTCGAATTTTTCAATAACTCCTAACTAGGTTTTTTTTTTCTGTCTGGATAGGAATGACAAGATATTTCTTAAATAATTTAGTTTCTTATTTTTTAATCGGAATTTTTCTCAAAAGTATAATTGTGGGAATTTTTTACTTAAATAAAACCTTTAATGCTGCCCCCCCCCCCNGCCCCCCCCCCCCATTTGTGAGTTCAGACATTTTGATGTTCTTGGCTATGCCCATGAAGCCCCCTTTTCAATAAACTGGTAAATTTAACATCACATTCCTACTTCACCTTTTGGCTAGTTTATTTGAGCATAAATAGAAAATAATTGATCAGTAAAACGTAATCAACATTTTAGCTTTTGGTTTATTGTTTTGGTTATTTTTGTATAAATTTAATACTCATTTAAACACAAATAAACACACAATTTTAAAATGGTTGTAGCATTATATATCTATAAAAATGAAAACTATCGGTTTATAAATTATGTAAATGATATAATGTATTTCTTAATTATTGTATAAATAAAGTAAACTCACGTTTTCACAAATAAACTCAAATGCGAACTTATATTTACGCTCTATGAAACTAAACCTTTGCTTAACTAAACGAGCTTAAAAAATGCAAAGTAATATAAACTTAATTGTTTCTCATGCGAAGAGTTAATGAAAATAAATTATATTTTATTAATTTTAGGTAATGGTAGAAAAACTTCTCAGATCATGTCCTGGAATAAAAAATATATTCATTCTTATGAGAGAAAAAAAAGGTAAGGATGCAAGACAGCGTCTGGAAGAGCTCCTCAGCTGTAGGGTAAGTATAACGATATTTGTAACTATTTAGTAAATTTTAAAAATTTTAAAAAAAAATTTAAAAATTTTAAAAGCTTTAAAAATTTTGAGGTCAACTTGTGGAAACCGATAAAAAAAACTATTGATTACAAATTAATATCATACAAAAGTTTTCAACTAAGTTCAAAGTAATGCCCAAAAAATTTCCAAAACTTTTTCAACATAAATTTAGTAACACCACAAACTAATTTCTATACTTCTTACAGTACCTGTAAAAATTGTGTTACAATTTTCCCGTAAATTAAGGAAGGAGTAAATCGCAAAACTGATCTGGAGCTATGTGATGTACTACAGGCATTAACCTTGAATAAATTCTGGAGGATATTATATATAAAAAACGAAGCTTACCAAAATGTTTCGTGATTGAAATTCAAAGTTGAAAAATATATCATCTCTTTGCTTTATATAATATTATGCTTTACATAGTATGGTTAATAATTAAATTGGCACTGATAAGCAGTGGACAAAACTGAAAAAAATTGCATCAAATGAAGCAAAATAAAACATTCTTATCAAAGGTAATTAAAAACAAGTATGGTTCCCTTTAAAATATGTATAACTTAAGTGAACAGAGGTAAAAAAAAGGGTATTGCTTCTGTACTTATCAAGTGAATTTAAGATTTGAACTTACTTTTTTAACATTAAGCTGCCATTTTCAAGAAAATCCATACTAAAAAAAATTTTGTTTCATGATTTGTAATCTACTTTTGTATAATGTATTTTTTAATTGTAATCTGCCTTTATTGAATGAAAAAATATGAGTATATCAAAATAAAATTTATTGTAACACAAATCATAAATCATTAATATCATTGATTTTAATTTTCATTAATAACGAGCTATAATAAAGTATTAATTTTATGCTTTTTCTTAATTAGGAATTAATTTAAGCGAAGTCTGATGTGTTAAAATCCTTGTTTAATAAATATTGTTTCGTCAGACCTCAAATCATAGTTTATAGCTTTTTCTATTCACTGTATTTTAATTTAAGGTATTAACCTTAGGTATTCGATCACAAGAGGAAAGAAAAACCAGATTCGCAATTTTCAATTTTTTGGTCGACATAAAGTTACTCAGTTTAATTCCAATTATAATCTTGTAGTAACAATGCAAAGTGATTAATTTAAGTGTTGTTTTTATGCAGACATTAATAATTTAAGTATAAGAAACTAATATAAATATTTTTTTGGCATACTTATTCTTAACTTGAAAATCTTTATAAAACCTTTAAACCTTAATTCAACTCTCAGAGTAAATAGTGGATACACTTAGTGATATAGAACTGTCTCCTGTCAGCTGCTTACGTTGCTCGAATCAAGCAAAAATGTATAAGTTTAAGATTCGTAATGTAACAATAAATTTATTCTGTAAAATTTTATTCAATATAATATAACTTAAGTATTATGAACAATGATATTCGTTTTAGTAACAAACGTTTTTATTTAGATCAAAAGTGAGGATGTTAATTATTTGTTTAATATTTAACAGAATTTTATTTTTATTATGGAAATGAGTAACTGATAAATATGCTAATAACCGAACCACATTTTTTTTTGTAAGACTTCATTTTGGATTGCGTACTGTTCTTGTTATAGTCGATTGTTACCAGTAAGGAAAAGAGTATATCTGTAAGAATGGCGAGCTTAGGGTATCAGATTAGTTACAACTTTTTTTAATAAAGTATTAGTATAAATCTTCAAAAAGCCAGTTTATTTGTTTTAATATGTGTAAAATCTTATAAATATAGCAACAAAAAATTTTTTTTTAATATATATGGTCAGTTTCAGGTAAAGAGGCATTTTTTTGCATGAACGCTAAGCACTGTAAAAAATTTCTATCACATAAAACAAAAACAAAAAAGGATTTTATTTAGGCCATCAGCTATGTTTTGAACTCATCTTAAAAGCAAGTGCATATACCACTGAGTTAGGGATCAATGTAGTTAAAAAAGCAAATTTTTGAAAATTATCGCACTTGTCTTTTCGAAAAAACAGGCATGAAAATGAAACTCTTAAATGAACTTTTTTCTCTTAGTCTATAGTTCAGAACATGTGCGCTATAACCATAAGCACTCATAAAAAAAAATTATAGACAATTATTTTAACAACATGAGATCGTGTTTAAGGTGGCGTAAAATATGAAAAAAACCTGATTTCAGACAAACGCATTTAAAGACTTAATAACAATGGATAGACCAATGAGTTTACCTTGCACAAAAACTGCTACAACTTCGCAAATAATTTAGAGTACAAACAAAATTATTTTTCGAAAGTTAAAAGTATATGGATTCTAAATTTATAATGAACTAAATATAAAAAATTTTGACAAATGTTTTTGCTCTAGTCAGATACCCAAAGTATTGAATGTTCAGTCCCATGTTTCAGTTTTCAGGTTTTCTGTCATTCATTTAATTTTAGGTATTCGATCGGCTGAGGAAAGAAAAACCAGAATCTTTAAACAAAGTAGTTAGTATCACAGGTGACTTATCCTTACCATACTTAGGAGTATCAGCGAATGATATAGAAATCATGTCTAAGTCTGTATCAGTTGTATTCCATTCTGCAGCTACAGTAAGGTTCGATGAACCAATGAAGTAAGTACAACAAATTAATGGTGACTAGACATTAAACATTGAAATTATAAATATAATTGCAATCGCAAAATTTAAGTAAATAAGATATTTATTTGTTGGAATAATAAATAATTTAAACTATTTCTTTAAAAGATAAAACATTTATCTATCTTTTAAAAGCCACAAATTAATCATAAAGGATGTACTGCTATTTCGGAGCTTTATAGTGAAACGAAAATTAAATTCGATTTTCGATGTTTTTGTAAGAAGTAAATTGTTGCTAAGCTAAGTTTCTGACAGAAAGATTTTCAAAAATTGGATTTCTACACTCATTCCTTGCACAAGGAACAAAAAAAAAAAAGTAAAGGTTCACCCTGATCCTATGATCGGATTGTCACGTTCTAGGACTTAACGGTTCGAGAGAGGGAGCTCAAATATGCTAATTAGTGCCGACGATATTGTAAATTACGAAATCGGACACAAAAACGTACTTTCTCTGAATAAACATACCCTCTTTCGACGGATTTGGAATTCTGACACTCCGAAATAATCTGGCCGCAATCTGGGAGACATGGTCCCAATAGTTTGGTCAGAAGAGCTGTCCGAAGTTTGGACCCCTTAATGTTAATTTTACTCTTTGCGTATTCAGTAATATCTCGAACTTTTTAAGCGAATTGAGAAATTTTTGCACACAATTTTAAAATTCGCTTATCCAAGGATAATTCCATACAAAAAATTCTAGCAAATATTTATTATTTTATTTAATAATAGTCTAAAAATTTTGGAATTGTAAGGTATAAGAATTTTATGTCGTTTTTAAAGTATGCAATTTCACATAGCAAAATAGAAAATTTGAGCGAAATCAGTTTAACTGCTTCTGAGATATCTAATTTCAAAAAAGTCTTATACTTAAATTTTGATTTCTCAGGCACTATTAGACTAATTTTCTCAAATTTTGTATTTTTCCATAAAAATTAGATAATTTGAAATGAAGAAAATTTGTATACCTTGCAATTCAAAAAATTTTCAACTATTGTTAAATAAAATAATGAAAAATAATAAATATTTGCTAAAATTTATTTTTTGCAAGGAATTATCTTTAGTTAAAGGAATTTTATAATTATGTGCAAAAAAAGTTTTAAAGTCGCTTACAAAATTTGCGAAATACGCAAAAGTATAATTAACATTAAAGGGTCTAAACTTCGGATCGCTCTCTTGAACTAACTATGAGAACCATATTTCCCAGATTGCGACTACCCCTATATGTTAGGGGTCAGAAATCCGGATTCTTCGAAAAAAAAGGTATGCTTATTCAGAGAAAGTGAGTTTTTGTGTCTTTATTTCGTAACCTAAAATATCGTTTGTATTAATTAGCATATTTGAAGTCACCCCCTCAAACCATTAAGAATGAGTACTAGACCGTGAAGATCCGATCATTAGATCAAAAGTTATTCAGGGTGGCCCGTTTTTTCCCGCACTGTACAAGGTTAGGTACAAGGCTTTTATTCCAATCTTTGCCAAACATGGCTTTTGAAGTCTTTTTAATTCTTTTTTTTTTTTTGTTAATTCATAACGACTTTTTTGTATAATAAGCAGCATTGAAACTGACGTCGTAAATTGACCCTTAGTCTAAGAGTGCATTACACAGATTAATGATCAAAATTCTTTTGGTTATATATTTGGTTTAATATATTATTGGTTACATAATTGGAGTTATTTAAAGATTTGGTTGCACTTGTAAAATCTGTAATATTTAAGAATAGGTTTTCATTTGAATAAAATTACTATTTTGTTTAAATTCTAAATTTTTATGTTAGACAAGCTGTAGACATGAACGTCATAGCTACCAGAAGAATGCTTGAACTATGCCATAAACTACCAAATATTGCAGTAAGTATATCTTAAAACTTACAAATTGTAGTCAATTTGATTTAAATTTTTCCGAAATAGAATATTATGCTTTTCCAATTAAGTTTTTTTTCAATGTTCTGAGTTCATTTTTATTGTATGTTTGCTTCAGGCTGTGATCCACGTTTCTACTGCCTACGCTAATTGCGACAGAAAAGAAATCGATGAAATTGTTTATCCTCCACCGATGCCACCAAAACAAGTCATTGATGCTACAGAGTAATATATTTTAATTAGTTTTTTATCAATGTTTTCATTTCAACTAGATAAAAGTTACTATCATCATCAAAGTTCCTTAATCCTTAGTATTACGCTGAAAGCTGTTGAGAGTACGAAGAATTAACTTTAATTATTCAACCGCTTTCATTAAAATTGGCTGAAAATTTTAAAAACTTTCCGAGAGCTTACTGATTGGTTTCACTACTCAAAAGCATTCTTGCGTGTTCTTTCCCCTCGTTTTGATTTCTTTCCCGTTTGTTTTGTCAGGTATAACTCTGTTTAATTTAATTAAATATTGAGTTAGCCGTTTGAGTGTAACGCAGTTAAACCTCTTCTGGCGCTTTTGCCATTAATAGATTCAGAATTGTCTTCTCCTTTGAGGAAAACGAACTAAATGTGTTCCCCCATCCAAAGATGGAAAGAACATTTCTGAGCACCGCCTGTTCTTCCTAGACCAGGTCCTAGACTAAGACCGAACCAAGTCCGTTCATAACGCTTCCGGTCTTGTGTACGGTAGAAAAATAACCGGTTGTGAAGCTTTTACATTCTTATGATTGGACCAGGTTCTTTGACAACGCTGTGCTGGTTAACTCTACAATCCATTCATTTTTCTAGGAAAAATCAGGGCTAAAGAGAATAGAAGAGCTAGTTCACTCCGCTCTTAGAGCTGAAGCTACGATTTCCCTCCTCATGACGTCACTGTGTCCACAGATCTCGGAGATCGCAAGCAAAGATATGATAACTTTGCATTTTTCTCTTTGTAAAAATAAATTAGACTTTTTCTGGTTATTAGCTTTCAAACTTTACGTAATTAACACATTATTTCCGTTCATAAACATAGTTCAAAAAAACTTTCCTGTCCATTATATTAAAAAAATACCATTTTAAACTTATGAAAATGTTTTACTAGTTGTCGAAAATGACACTATAAATACTTTATTTTAAAAAATTCAGTTTTAACTTTAATTATTAAGAAAAATGAAAGCATATATCAGCACTTTTTTTATATACATATTCTTTTATTACAATAAGTTGAGTTAAATTTAGAATCCCTGATTTTAAAATATGCCGTTAATAGCAATTTGTTCATACTTAATCATTAGGAAACATCAACCTTAAACGCTAATTACTGAAACAAAATAATAATTCAGGTTCATAATGACATTAGAAATTTTACAATTGTTTATAGATATTTCAATTTACGATGATTTAATTTATGGATATTTAAGAGAACATAATTTTTAAAAAAAATCATAAATATTTAGAATAACTACATTAAAAAATATGTTATGAAATTAGGAGAATTCCAACTATATACTATATATTTTATTTATACTTTTTATTTACATTTTAATTTTCTTTGACTTTATCCATTTTTTAATTTTTTTCACCTGCCTTTCTTTTTGAAGTAACGAGGTGGTTTCTATTTAGATAGTGAATTTTTATAAAAGTTCTTAACGACAGAATAAACGTATTGCTGTTTTATATTAACTGTGTTATTTCGAAATCCATTCTTTACATAGTTGTTCATTTACTTTAGGGAACAAGCGGAAAATTATATTTTTTCCTTTTGTTTTTCTATCAAAATTTTTTCAAGTTGCAATCGTGCAAACTGGCATTTCGATAATAGTTTTAAATTCTTGTAAATTCACTGCAAAAACTGAGGAAAGTCATTATAGAAAATAACAAATGTTTTAGAATATCTCGCAAAAAGAAATGCTCCAATATTAGTTAGAGCTAGTAAGGCCGAACGAAAAAAGAGATGTATTTTTGAAGTAAAAGTGCGAGCTTTGCGCCAAAGTGACGTCACTAGAGAAAATCGGAGGATTGGCGCGGCGAGAGCTACTTTAAAGAAGTGAACCAGCCCTTCTATTCTCTTTAGCCCTGCCAAATGTCCCTTGGGCTGTGTACTTTCGTTATCAAAGCTGCGATTTTTGAAAGACGGGTGATAAGCAAAATATTTTAATTGTAGTAGTAACCCTTTCAATCCTTAAATATTCAAATTTGATGAAACTTGTTGACAATTAATAAAAGCACAAATAAGAAAATGATAAAAAAATTGTCTAGTTAAATTTTACATTCAGATTTAATATTGATGAAAAATAAGTTTTTGCAAAATGACTTTATTTTGGACAACTAACATTTTGAAAGATGAACAAAAATACCAAACCTCGTCAAATTAACTAGTCAAATTTTAATTACGCATTTGCATTTAAACTATTATCCCTTTGGTGCATTGTAATGATATTTAAAATACTTTTTAAATTTCTAATTTAATGCAACCATAATTTTCTATAAAAATTCAACTGATCCGTTTAGATGGATGGAGCCTGCTTTACTAGACTCGATTACACCGAAGTTGATTGGAAATAGACCAAATACCTACACATTTACCAAAGCATTAGCTGAAAATTTACTCGTAGACGAATGTGGTTCACTACCAGTAGCAATTGTAAGACCATCCATAGTTTCTGCAGCGTGGAAAGAACCGTATCCGGTTAGTATGATTTATTACTATTGAAACGTAAAACTGAGCATATTGAGCTCCTTGGTTTAATTGTTAGACTTCAGATTGTTAGAGAAGTACTTATATTATCATTGCTGATGCAAAGTTTGTCTCAGTAAATACTAAGGCCGAATTCTTTAGTTAACAATTATAATTGTCTAACATTTTCATAATTATTTTAATTTGTTGGATTATTTTTCTTAAACATTTTACAGAAGAATTTTCGCATTCATAATATTAGTATGTCTGCAAATTTTATTTTCATTAGTTCCCAACTTAAGAAAAACTTCAAAAACTGACTGGCTGATGGTCAGCATCATGAAAAGAATCTGGAAATAATGCACTATTAAAACTTCATTAAAAAAAACATTGACGATTTAAAAGTTTCATTTAGTTTTTCATACGAATAACATGTTGCCCATAAACTAAAAAAAGATATCAGAGCATTTCCAGAATTTTTCTGTAATGCTAAAGATCAAAAAAATATTGAAAGGCGAAAAATTTACTTTTATATTTTATATACTATGAAGTTTATGTAAAACTCATTAAAAAAAATTTAATTTGATTTTAAAAATGGGGAAAATTATGTTTGGTGATTTATTTTTACTTTAGACTCTTCTCAAAATACGTGTATTAAAGAATGGGCGTAGCACAGAATGCGTGTTAAGGAAAATATGCAAAGCTGTTTAAGAAAATGGACATTACATTTGGTTCTGTAGTTTAAGTTACTTTTGACTATTCTTTCTAAATGAAACAATCAATAAAAAAATTATTATGCATATATCATTTCTAATATGTGCTTTAAATATGTCTTTACTAAGCGGACTGCAAAGGTTCCTTGTTCTTTTAAACAAGAATTCTTACTAATCAGTAAGTCTTAGAATATTAACGTTAATGCTAGTAGGAATTTTCGATACCACTTTAGCTTTTAGAGTTATAAGCACTGACTTCACATGCAGATTTCACTCAAAAAATGTGTAGTTATAATCACAAATATATTAAAATATTGTAATTTGTTTAATTTTTATCACATTTTTAAATTTACAAGATCCGAGGGTACGGTGCTTTTAAATGGTTTTTCCGTGATAGATTTTCATAATCCACGGTACTAAGGATTTTTGAATTCTAGGGAGGGATTTTTTAAAATCCTGAAATCCTCGAATACTGAATCCAATTTATCTAAACTTAATAGAAAAAAATATTTGTCGTTACAAATTTTAATTGAAAATGACTTAACTTTTTCTTTCAAATTGCAGGGATGGATTGACAACTTAAATGGTCCATCGGGTATGATAATTGCAGTAAGTAATACTTCGTTGTTTTGAAACTGTACATTTGTACATCCTAGAACAAATTCTTTTATTTAAATTTTCCTAAAAATTCCATTATTTCCTTGAACATTAAGAAGTACAAACGTTTAGTTATTTCATGATAGTATTGCCTCAAAAAGCAAACTAGTTAAGGCTGATATTCTATAATTTCATCGAAATTATGCCAAAGTAAATATGTTTCAATAAATAGCAAGTCTCTCACCTTTAAAGATAATTTCTATTGAAATATAATTTTTCTCTCATTGACTAATACATCCACTTTTTAAACCTCTGCAATAAATTTGATTTAATTTATCATTTTTCCATGTAAGTTCTATCAGATATGAGCAGTTTTTTTAATTAACCCTTTTCCTTAACACTTTTCCAATTTTTATCAAAAAAATGTGAAAAGCCCTTGTATTGCATTATTAAAGATATAAGAAAAAGAAATGAACGAAGAATATTAATAATTTCCATATTAAAGCTAAAGAAATATCAGTAATTTAAAAGTAGATTTCTTTATTTAGAATGTACAATCTACGGTCGCAGTTACTGATTTAAAATTAAAAGAAATTTGAAATTTAGAAGTCTTTTAAACACAGTCCAATTTTATCATCAAAAGTGAAAGCACCCAAACAAGACTTCGCATATCACGAATCAAAATAAATTATTTTCCTTCGCAGGGTAACAACAAGATAATGACAATTTTTCAAAGCCAGACTTTTCTTGGGTTAATAATTGCAGCGTGTTTGAGTTAGATAGCTCAGAATAATTATTTAATTTGTTAAGACGTTACATTGAAATCAATGAGATATAAAACTACCAGAAATTAAATTCCCTGTTCTCATTTGAATAAAAATTCAACTACATTTATTATTCATTAATATTAAAAAAAAGTTACTCATTACATTTTGAGAAAATCATAAGGACATTGTTCACTAGACATCATTAACTCTTCCGTATTTACGTCAGAAAAATGTGAGATTTAACTGTAAATACTTCAGTTAAATGATTTAAATTTTACTCTTTTTAGGGTGGCAAGGGTGTACTGAGAACTATGATAATTTATGGAGAAGCTGTCGCTGATATAGTTCCGGTTGACGTTGTGGTAAATACGCTTATTTCCGTCGCTTGGTACACAGCCATGCACAGGTTAGTCCTCGAAGGAGTTTTATGTAAGGATAAATTATTATGGTAAAATATGCTTTTTATTAAGCAACTTCAATATTTGTTTTGCTTATATTCGTAGACAGAACATGTTTACAATGTCAAATTTAAAGAATTGTTTCTAAAATATAACATTAATTTTCAAAGAGATTTTTTCAAATACAATGAAAATAGAATTTAAATGTATTTCTCTTACGTTTCAAAACTTTTAAAATGCATATGTACTTTACGTTCTAAATTAAACTTACGATTTGAAAATGATAGATTTTTTAAAAAGTGCTTAAAATGGTTTAATTAGTTTTTATAATTGTAATAATTGTATTTCACAAAAACTAATACATCCTTGAATTTTGCTTTCATTGAAGTAATTCAGATGTAAATTTTATGAAACAATATTCTTGCGTTTCGCAGCATGATTTATATTAATTGACTTTAAAAATTTCTCTTAAAGATCATAAATTCTCAAATTTACTTTGAGTACATGTCGAATTTATTTCGAATACATTAAGGAAAAATTAAAACATCAAAATTAATTGCTTTTTATGTTTTTCCTTTGCGAGATCACCATTTTAAATTAAAGATTTAATCAGTCACGTGATCTTCAGAACAAACGTTTAGGCTGAATGGAAAACACTGGGTAAGAAAGTGTTCAACGAGGACTTTAAGTTCTTAACCAGCTGAATAAATTTCCAGAAGTATTGGAAGAAAATAAATCCTCTTCAGACATTACTGTCCAAGTAAATATTTTCTATGTTTTCAGAAAATACCTCAGTTAAGCATATTTAAAAGTTTTTAAAATCAATCCCAGTTTTTAAGCAAGTTGAAACATCTCGAATCAATATTTTGCTTCGAAAACAGATTTTTTTCTTCATTTTTTGAATTTTTTTAATCTATAAGAAAACTGTAGTTCGGGTTTGAGTTTTTCTTCTAAAATAACGTCTAAAGAATTTCCTAGTAAAAAAAAAAGTTAACAAATAAAATATTTAGATTTCTGCTCAAAACTAATCCACATATTTTCATAAATGATATTTCATAGTTTTCTTAGAACATTTTACTTAGATATAGCTACTTTTAAACTAAACCATTCTGAGTGTGTAACATTTTTTTAATAAATTTAACATTTATAATATTTCAACAGGCCTAACAGTATTTTGGTTTACAACTGCACATCTTCTGGATTAAATCGTTTGACTTGGGATGATATAATGCTTTCAACATACCCTCAGCTTCTAAAATATCCTAGTGCCGAACTTTTCCGCTATCCTTATGGAAGTTTCAGAAGAAGTCAATTCGTGAATTCCATATGTATAGCTTTCCAGCACTATTTACCAGCTTTATTTGTTGACTTTATGGCATACATATTTTTCCAAAAACCTGGGTAAGACTTTTATTTCATTAAGAGTTTTGCTCTAAAGCAAGCATTTTTAAGCAAGCTGAATACTAACAGCTGTATTCAACCACCACTTTGTAGCGACTAAAGAAAATAGCAATATTTGAGTAATTCAAGCAAACGATGCAATCAAGCAACGATGCAAAAATTTTAAAACTGGAAAGTGACCATTAGTACTTTTTTTTTTCTACAAAGTCTTTTTGATGTAGTAGCGAGTTTGTAATCCACTAGATCCGAAAGGATTGTATATTTAACATTGCATGGATTTGCAGGAAACTAGATAGTTATAAATTTTGTATTGAAATCATTCTAAAAGAAACTCATCAGAACATGTAAATTAAATTGCATTAATATTTTCTTAAAATGGAGAAAGTACCCTTCTCTCTAGATTTAAATGATTAAATACAAATTTTATAAAGTAATCTACAACTCAAAACTAAAACATTGTATCCTCAACAAATAAACTGCTCAGCCGAAACAATCTAATTCAGTTGTCGGTTAAACACAATATTGGGCTTTTATGTTAAACAAATATGCTTCCAAAGTTAATTTTTGAATATATATGTTAGATAAAGTTAAATATAATTCAATTTTAATTAATCCAATACATTTAAGTTTGCATAAAAATATAAAAATTGCATAAATTTTAAAATTTTTTAGCTCATTTTGCAACACAAGTATTAATGTTTCTAAGTTTAAAAAAGTACTATTTAAGAAAAAAAATATATAAAGGAGCAAAAGTTTTAATTCATCGCATTTCTCATGTTTGAATGCGAAAATTATGTAAAAAGTATACTTTTGAAGGATACTAAACATACCTAATTGTTTTCCTTAACAATTTAGGAGCACTTTGTATTTTCTAATTTTTATGTTGAAAGTAATGTGTACTAGTATTGCCTTTACAATATATTAAAATTTAAAAAAAAATTGAACTAGGTGTGTTAAATCTTATGTTTTGTTCCCAAAATTTAGCATCGTTATTAGCACCTTTTTTTTTAAATTTGCAAGTAGTAGTTCTAGTTCTGAGAACTGAAATGTTAAGGTAAGGCTGTTAGCGTCCAAGTGTATTTCACATAAATATGCTGATGCACATTTTATTATAAACTGGCTATTCTGAAAGAATTAAAGGTAGGTGTCAATACAGAATTTTTTTTTTCGATTATTTTTAGTCTTAAACTGTATTCTCTGGAGTAAAATAAAACTATTTGAGGTAAGTATCATGGACTGAAATGCATTAAGTATTGTAATTTAATGACAATTTAAGTTTGAGCTATTTCTGCATTACTCTTTTCAATTTGCTACTTATGCAAAATAGGTTAAGTTAGCAGTGCAAAGTGACCAAAATAGTCTATTTTGCAACTTTATTATTGTTAACAATGCTTTGAGCCTTAACAATGTTTTGAGTCTTGCGAGAAAGCAATTTCAAAGTTTGTTTTTTCTGCCGCTGTATAATTTTAATGATTTTCCTCCCTCTGTTCTAACCCCACCTAATTGGCTACCTCTATACAAAAACTGTAAACTCCTAGTACACAAAACGAGGACTGTTATTAAAATCAAGCGTTTAACATTTAACAAACTGCTTGTAAGAATCCTCTTTTTTTTTTCCTTTTAACTTTTCATTGAGAGATCAACATTAAGTTCAATTGTTTTATTTACAATTGTATAAAATTCGTAATAAATACTAGACATGAAGACTAATAACTTGATAATATTGTATCAAAAATAGTGTAGATTTAATAAAACTGCCCCGCTTTAAAATCTCAATTAAACGCCTAGAAACCGAAATTTAAAAAAATAATAAATCTAAGTATTAAAAGATATGGAAATTTATGTTAATAAAATAAAAAAAAAAAATGAAAAATGAAAATTAGAAAAATGAATGAACATTAAAATGCATGATTATTAAAGCCTCCATTATATTAGTAATACGCGTTCAATTCGTAATACGCGTGTGCAAATTTTTAGCAGGCATTTGTAGGAGACCAATATGTATTGTCTAGTGAAGTTCAAACATTTAGTCGCTGATTTTTGTTTCCTGAACTCTAATTTTCTTTTTAATTCTTTAACACATAATTCTTATACACATAATTCTTAAATCATGCAAATTTAATAATTTACAAGCAAATATTTTTAAACTACTTACCTTTTCCACGTAAATTCCTATTTTTATTCTTCAATTTTCCATCACAATATTCCAAGTGCCATTTTTAAAACTTAAACGCAGACGAAAAATACGTTCAAAGCAAATACTTCCATAAGAAATAAATTAGAAACAGACGATAATAAAAATAATTAAAAAAGCATTACATTTATTGTAAATTAAACTTTGATTTTATTTGAAATTATTTGTGAATGGTTATAAAATAACTGTCCCAAAATATGAAAATAAAAATCTAGGGAAAAAAAACTTTATTTGATTACTCACGGCAAAATTATTCTGATTAAATTCTAATGATTTAAAGTTGCAATCCTAACTACGAAGTGCAAGTAATTTTTCAATAGCTTTGTGTTTAAAAAGAATTTACTTTTAACTGCATTAGGAAATTCAGAATCAGATTAGATTGGTACATTTTAAGTTAAACTGTCGAACCAGTTTCAGTAAGAATTCTCCTTAAGTTTCTGAAAACCATAGATTGTTTTTCTCACAGAATTATTTGAAATATTGATAAAATAATTATCGTTCAATAAGGAATCTTGTTGTCAAGTTAAAACTATGAAGTGGATTGTTCGAAAAGTTTGCAATCAAATGATTATTTAGATTTCAAAAGTTGAAGGAATTCGGAGCGTTCCTCATTGCGCCGTGACGCGAAACTTGGCACACAAAAAAATATTAAAGCAACTTCAAATTATTCAAATTCTTGTATGAGTAATTGGATCAAAATAATTCCTTTTTTAAGAAAAATTAACAATAGTTTGCTATTTGCTTTAAAATTAAAGGAACCACATCTTTTCGCAAACGAGTTTACAAATACTGACTGCGTCCCAAACTTTTTAATAATTAGGTGAGAACCAGAACGGCTTTCTAAGTTTAGAGCGTTTCCGTGACAGTAAACTAAAATTCGAATCCAGACAGTAAGTAATTAAATTATAAATGCAATTAAATTACAATTGAAGAGCTGAAGGAGATCAGTAACACGAAAAAAATTTCGATTGACTGACTTCCAAGCTTTTCGTGCATAAATCTTTTTTTTTTTCTACAGTGTTGTTATCACTCTAGCGAAATAACTTTTCCTACAATATGTAAGGTTTATTTAAAATAATACACCCTTTATCCACTAACTTTTTAAATTCCAAAAAGAAAAAAAAAATTTCAAGTTTTCTGATCTAAATTCCAGGTTTTTGAAAGCAATTCGCGTTCAACGCAGGCTAAAGCAACTCAGTGTTATATAACCTTAAAACAACAGTGGCAGTCGATTTTCTCAAGTTAAATTTCCATAAAAATAAGTTCAATTAAATCAAAATTAATACGTCCTTCAAGGTGCCATGTTCTTAATTCTAGATTATTAAATGTATAACAGGTCATTTTAGCCATTCGTTCTTTTTTTCGCAGGATGATGCGCGTGTATCAAAAGGTCCATAAAGCTACTAGTTGTTTAGAGTTCTTCACAACTAGAGACTGGAAGTTTTCCTGTAACAACATGGTAATGCTAAATGATGCAATGTCACAGGAAGACAAAGAGGTAACCATTTAAACGAGAATATTTTAAAGTGACGCTGTAAAATGACAATACATCCGCGAAATTTAAATAAATATTATTGCATTATTTAAATAAATCTTATATTAAATACACAGTAGAAACTATATAAGCGTTGATTTTATGTAGCAGGTCTTAAAAATAAGAGTAGTTTAATTTTTCTTTTCCGAAAGGCAAAAAAAATTTGTTTTTTGTGACATTCTAAAGTACATTTTAAAAATTTCTGTAATTAATAATTTAATATATTCATGACTATACTATAACATTTATAGTGGATACCATTTAAATATTTCCGAATGGAAAATTCTATTTTCCTTACCCTCAGATTTTCGGGAAATCAGACATATTTTTATTAAGTTAAAAAAATTGCAGCAATGAAAATCCTGCTTAACGCTAGGTTTAATGCTGTGTCAGACAGTTATTTTTGTTGAATTCTTCAAAAAGTATGGTATATGAAGACATTCCCAGTTTTTTTACGAGAACTATTATTTTTAACTTAATGTAATGAACTTGCAAAAGAATAACGATCCTGCTGGTGTAACTACTTTCTCCATAGTTTAAAATTGAGTATGCTGTCCTGTCAATTTATGAATTTAAGTTTAATTTTCCCACCGCGTACAGAAGTGGCACACATTTTTGATTTTTAAAAGTTAAGAAAAAAAATCAACTATGATTTAAAATAACCCTGGAATTGCATTTTTTTGGATTTCAAGTAATAGTAAAAGCAAATTTGAAACACGCAAAAAAGTTGATTGGTTAGTTTGTATAAAAACTGATTCTTCTATGAAAAAACTTTTTTATGAATATATAAAGCATTTAATACAAATTTCTATTCAATTCATCAAACAAGCACAAAATTAAGACTATTATTTAATATGGTTTTAATTTGATTATGTCTAACTAAAGTGTTGTATTAAAGTTTTTCTTCCTTATTTATATACTTTTTTTATATAATAAGTTAATAAGTAAAATATATTATATATTTAGACTTTTAAAAATTTGAATTATACTTAAATTAATTTAAATGTACTTTACGAAACACCAAATACATATTTATTGAACCGGCGTATCTTGGTATCGTACAACTTGCTGCTTAGTAAAGTTATTTTGTATAGTATGTCTTAGATTTAAATACGCATTTAACTTTTAGAATTTCTTTGTTGACATACGCACTTTGGATTGGCCTTACTTCTGGGAAAATCACGTTCTGGGCTGTCGAAAATTCATACTAAAAGAAGATCCATCTACTATTCCATCAGCAAGAAAGAATTTACGAAGGTTTGTTTTCATTTTTTAATAATTCAGATTATCATAAATTTGATATTTGAGTTTGAAAGTACTTATTTATTAACTCATTGTATTCTTAATTTTCAGGCGATATTTCATTTCTCAGTTAACACACCTCGTTGTTGCTCTTGGCGTTTGGAAAGTATTTTTCTCAGGTTTCCTATCATTGGGTAATATATGGTGTGCCCTGACAGCCCTGATTCTAAAGTTTCAAAGTTTGATGCAAGAATAATTGCCTCATAATGTTGAGTTTCATTTATTACAAAGTGTCTCAAATCTGTTTAAACTTCGTGAGAAATTGCTAGATTTGAATCCTCATTTAATGGTGGAATGACACTTTTCGAATTATTTGATAAATTACAGCGATTCATTGTCGCTTAAGGATAACTTTCAAGCTCATTTTACTTGCTTTTATTTGTATCTGCAAACTTGTATTTTAAATTCGTTAAAAGTCCATCAGATTTTAAAAATCATATATTTAAAAAATGTCGCTGATTTTAATGTTTTTAAATATATTATATTTTAAACATTTTAATATTATGTATTATGTGCTTCTTTTAATATCATTCCTGTTTTCTGAAGAATCGCAGCCGGAAACAAATGTAAATGTCTAGTTCCTAAATGATTTCCCAAGCTGCACTTCTGTCATATTTTATACATATTTTTCTTCCAAAATTTTTAAAAACAGCTTTATAAAAGCTAATATTAAATTTGTCGAACAAAATATGCTCTTTAGAAACAGCGAAATGTTTATATTTATTTGCAGTGAAGAGTGTACTTTAAATAAAAGTTGTTATTTTTATGTTTGTATTTGTCGTTTTATAACTTATCTTAAAATCAACGTTTTTTAAAAATATTTCCGGATCCTCTAACCTCTGTCTTAATTTTAAAAAAAAAATTACTAACAAGGGAAACTAGGGAAGTGTGACTCGCCAATTTGGAAATAAACTAGTGGGATGTATGCCTTATGAGGAATTATTTTAGGGGGCAACATTCGTTTCGGCCCATAGAGGGTCCTGTGAGAGATCAAAAATAATTCCATATATAGAAAAATCGTTCTTTTATTACTTCAATGCAGACTATTAGTTAATGTAATTATCTCATACTCCAATTAATTTTGTGGTACTTCCACGTACTATATAATGCATATTTATTGTCAAAATTATTTCGAAAATTTTATATAGCTGTAGTTTTTCAGAAAAACCTGTAAGATTAATTTTAAAAAAAAAAAATTTGACATCGAATTTTTTAAATTTTTTTTTTTTCAAAAAATCTTCCAAATTAATTGGAGAACGTAATTGCAAATCAATTAATTAATAATTAACTTGCTAATTTATTAATTTTCTAATTAACCAATTAATTGCAAATTGGAGTATGAGATAATTACAATAACTAATAGTCTGCATTGAAGTAATAAAATACCGATTTTTCTATATATTGAATTATTTTTGATCTCTCACAGGATGTTCTATGGGCCGAAACGAAAGCTGCCCCCTAAAATTATTCCTCATAAGGCATGCATCCCACTAGTTTATTTCAAAATTGGCGAGTCACACTTCCCTAGTTTCCCTTGTAAGTAATGAATTGCTATGCCCTCCCACGAGTTCCGTGCATTCATAACTGGATTTTTAATAAATGTCTAACCACTTCGAGTTTTCAATATTAATAACGTGTGCAAAAGTCACCCTAAATCATCTCAAATATTTAAAAAGTTGTCTCGGCAATAAATATTTAGTTGAAATTCCAAGATTTGTTTCTCTGAAACTAGGGTTTCAAAGGCTGCGAAAATACCTAAAGTTAGTTTTTAACACTGATATCTAAGATCTCTAACATTAAACGACAAACCTAATTAAAAACTAAATACCTTTATGCCAATAATTTCTACACATCTCGTGTTTTACGTCAAATAAAAAAGAATCATTTCTTATTATAGTATTTCCCAAATAATTTTCTCCAAATTAGCCATCTTATTATTATTTTTTATTAATTTTTACGATTGTTTCTAAAATAGGCATGCGCTATTAATCTCTTTATTCTCGAAAAGGATCGTATTGTCGTAATAAGTTATAAATTTTAATCATGCATTTCAAACAGTATTTAGAAGAAACAGATATCCATAAGGTTTTGCATTTTATAAAATATTTTTTCTTGTTAAAACTTTGATACCGTGTCGAAAAATGTTTAATATTTTATTTTTTTCTAACTTTCAAAAATTAAGTACGTCAAGTTAAATCATCCTCTTTTTAATTTAATGCATTTTAGATGCAATTAAACTTTGTTTTAAATTATGTGTTAGAGCCTTTATAAAAAAAAAAAAAACGTACAACTTAAATAGCTAAGCTCAATGCTATGTAAAAAAAAGTTCTAAAAAGCTCTGAATTGTACATTATTACTTGTAAAAATCGAGAGGCTTTTTATCTAAGTTCTTGTTGGTAGTGCTTCCCAACCTGCGAGAAACGAGATTCTGGGCCCTGGACGCTGGTCTAATGGTTAAGATAAATCTTGAGGTCCAATTAAAATTCTTCGGGACTATTAACTTGTCTTATTTAAATGAGGCGTCATTTAATTTTTTTCACCTTAACACTCTTCCTTTTTATTCCTTTTATTAATATAAACTGGACAGTTAGATTATTATTAAAATAAGTTCTTCTGTTACTGTTAAGACTAAACTGAGTTATTAATATTTGAACCTTGATTTTAAATAATTTTTACTTCTTTCGCTTGTCTGGATCTAAATATAAATCAACAAATTTTGGCAGAAATTTATGTTGGGTATGATAAATATGTTTTAAAATATTAAAACAAATATATTAAATATAAAATTATTTGTATAAAACATTTTGTTAAATTTAAATATTATTGTCTTTGCCGTTAAATAGTTCTTAGTTGAAAGACTTCTCCACCTTGACGTCAATCCATTTAAAAGGACATTTTCACGACGATCATACATTTGCCAAATCACTTTCACAAACACAAAAAGAAAAATTCTTTAGTTTCCATTGAAATATAATATTCTGCCGGAATCCGTGTATTTAATCATTTTGTCGTCGATAAGAAAATCCAAGGGAAACAAATCATTCTGAGTTCCTGAAAATTTTCTGATGTTTAAACATATTGCCTTCATTTAAGCTTATTTTATTATTCTATGGTGTCGCCATCTTTCAGAAAATATAAATACTATAATTTGATGTTATGACAGCGTAATGAAAATCGCAAATTTCAAATCAACTTTTGAAAACTTTTTATCCAGCTATGAAAAAAACAATTTTTTTTCGGAACAGTTCTATTACGAATGACAATTTAGCTCTTCTATAAATGACAATACGTTAAAATTTTTATATCAAGCGTCTTTTAATACTATTTATTTTATATTTTATAACCTTCGTTGAACTGCCGACCCAATTCTGGGTTTACGACTACTTATGTTCAACTCTGTAACCTTGTAATTTTGAACCCAATCCAGAAGACAAGGGAACTCCTGGATCAAGTATGCAATGCTACTTTTGAAAAATACTTATATTCAGCAATATGCAATAGTTTGTTTTTTTAAATATAAATAAATAAATAAATGTGTATAAATAAATATAAATAAATNTATATATATATATACACACACTCATGGACAAAACAATTAGAGCACCAAGAAGGAGTCGTCAAAATGAAACTGATTTAAATAATAGTTTTTAAAAAAGACTGAAAAGTATTATTTGGAAGTCTGAAATAGTATAGAGCAATCAAATCTGTGAGTAGTACAAAAAATTTATTAATGCGTTTAAATTCGTTAAAGCGCTGCTTTATATAGAAATAAGACATAGAGGTCATTTTCAAAAACTTGTCTTAGGTCCCTTTTTTTCTTTTTTTTTTTAGTTGGTTCCTGTTCATGATGTTGAGTTGAGTAATCTAAAACAGTTTTGTAGTGGAATAGTGCTGTTTTTTAAAATTAATTACATAATTGATGAGTATAATAATGAGTATGAGTATCCTTCCAGTTTTTTAGAATGGAATATTCTTTGACGAGACGAAAGTAGAACGGGTATAATTTTCTAGAATTTGATATAACTGGTGACAGTAGTGCTTGGACAAAAGAATTTAAAATTTCTAAAAATTAATTGTGCTACTACAATTTAGCGTGAATAACAGTTGGGTATGAAAAACAGTCCAGTGTCTAGAATATCCCAGAAATAATTATTATTCATTATGACTGAAAAATTTCTGAATAATTACTTAAATACTATTTATAGTGTAACTACCACCACTATAACTATCAAATTCCGATTCACTAATATATAAGACATGTTAACTGGATTCTATTAGGGGTGCATATTTTGAAGTCTTTTTCAATACTTATTAAAACAAATCCTTTAGATACCTTTTAATAGACGTAGAAATAGCTTAAAGTAAAATATATTAAAATTGAAGGGGAATGACCAATTTTAGTCTTAAGTTTGGTTTAAGTGACCAGAAATTAAAAAGTATAGTGTAAATATTGTTTTGCTTTTCTGTTTGAATTAGTTGTAACATAAACACGATAAACATAATTCATTTTTCGCTGAATGAAAACGTTTTATTGAAAATACCAACACTTTCATCTATTTACAACATAAAATAATAAAATCTGTATATGAAATTCACAATTCATTTAGTATGAATTACACACTGAGGACAATTTAAAATATGAGCACATCATTATATGTTTCTTTAAAATAACTAAATTACTTCATCTATTTACAAAAATGAATACTATGAATGAAATTCATATTTAAAAGATAGTCGTGTTTTGTAAAACTTTAGATATTATGATGTAAAACAAAAAGAATACACCTGCCAGCACAATTGTCTTGATGAAACTGGTAAATAAGTAGCGTCTGAAAATAGAAATAAAATATATTTTATTGAAATAATTTTTTTTCAAAATATCTGCTTTGTTTTTTCTATTTATGTTTTAAACTTTTTGAATTCATGAGTTTTAAACTTAATTAACATATTCACAAGCAGGGCCGTAACTACGCCGGGGCACCGCCCCGGGGCCCCGACGGTCAAGGGGGCCCCATATGAAGAGACCACATCATGTTTTTTCAAAATACAGTACTCTAATTATATATACGTAGGAAAGAAATTGTGTTAAGATAGAGTTGCTGAAAATTTTCTTTTTTGTAATTACGTACCTACTATAACATAAAGGAAAGGGTAAAAAACGGTATAACAGCTTTTCGCGAATTATTTCCCATTCTCATAAGAACAAACACGCTTTGCAGAGAAGGGGAAAGGCCACAGCTGCATGTAGTTGATTGTTAACGCTTTCTGTACATTGCACTTCTGGTATACATTGTTTCCTCTACTATCTAGCGTCAGACCCAGTGGCGTGCCAACCAGGGGGAGGCGGAGGGCCCCTCTAAAATTTAAGTGATGGGGCAAACGATGCGTTTCGCCCCTCCTGAAATTTAGACACACAAAAATAAAGTAAAATCGGTAATTTAAAGAAAAAAATTTCAATTTTGAAGCTATTTTTTAAATAAGAAAACTTTATATTCCACTAACATTTATGTGCTTTGCCTCTTCTGATATTTAGTTATTCGCCAAGACGAAGTCCATTAAAATAGGTAATTTTAGAGAAGAAGAAAAAAAAGCTATTCTTTCTCAGCTTTGAAGTTATACATCAAGTAGGAAACTTTATTTTGTTATGGGCGATTAATGTGTTTTTTGACTTTTGGAAAGGTAAAGTGAAAGTGGAAAAAATATTTTAATTCCAATTTTCACTCTATTTTCTTCCGAAATAGTAATGAGGGGGCGAACATAGTGTTTCGCTCCTTTTGAAATTTCAAAGAGCTAAAAAATAATAGAAATTGGTAACTGAAAAAAATTTCATCTTTGAATCTATTTTCCAAATAGAAAACTTTATTTTCTTCTGAAATAAAAGTGAGGGGGTGGGGAATTTGCTTCTCATCTTCTGAAATTTAGACATTAACATTAATAGAATAAAATCAAGTAAAGTAGGAAATTTTAGAGAAAGAAAATTGTTTTGCTTCATAACTTCGACGATATTTTCCAAATAAAAAACTTAATTTTTCTCTTAAATTATAGTAAGGGGATAGGAAACTTTATTTTCTTCTGAGATAAAGTAAGGGGGGCTAAAATGTGTTTTGTATCTTCTGAAATTTAGACATTTGAAATAATAAAGTCTAGTAATTTTTTTTTTCCTTTTTTTTAAAAAAAAAAAGAACTTTGAATCTATTTTCCAAAAAGAAAATTTTATTTTCCCCTTAAATTAAAGTGAGGGGGCGAAGAATATACTTCGCCCCTTCTGAAATTCAGGCATTCGCAGGAATAAAGGCAAGTAAAATTTATATTTAACTCTTATTTTCGACTTTAAAGCTATTTTCCAAATCGAAAACTTTATTTTCCTCTGAAATTTAATTGAGATGGAAGATAATGTGCCCCACCCCTTCTGAAAATTTGACATTCGCTACAATAAAGTAAAGTAGAATTGAGAATTTTAGAAAAAGAAACTACTTTTTTTCCAATTTACTAGCTATTTTCCAAATTGAAGTAGAAATTGGTATTTTATGATTAGCATTATATTTAGAGGAAAAGGAGGCTACTGTGGACATGGGGGACAGGAGTAGACAGCATGAATATTTTCCCCCTAGTCATATTTCCTCAGTGAGATGTCGTAAATTGGTAACATTTACGTACAGTGAACCAAAAAAGTACCACCCTGAATGACTTTTGATTTAATAATCGGATTTTCACGTTCTGGGACTCCATCTTAATAATTCGAGGGTGTGACATCAAATATGAAAATTAATTAGTGCACGATATTTTATTTTAAGTTACGCAATCAGACGCAAAAACATACTTTCTCTGAATAAACATAACTTTTGTTCAACAGATTCGATTTTCTAACCCCCGTAATGTAGGAGGTAGCTGTAATCTGGGGAATATGGTCCCAATAGTTGGGTGGGGTGAGCTATCCAAAGTTTGGACCCCCAAATGTTAATTTTATTTTTTTGTATTTCACTACCGATCGAGAGTTTTTTAAGGGAATTTAAAAAAATTTTGCACACGATTATAAAATTCTGTTATCTAAAGATAATTCCATGCAAAAAATATCTTTTAGTAAATATTTATTATTTTTTATTTAATAATAGTCTGATGTTGATCATTTACGTCGCACTAGTGCTGCACAATGGGCTACTGGCGACGGTCTGGGAAACATCCCTTGAGGTTTGATCCTTTGTAGAGGGGATGGCCCCCCCGCTTCGGTAGCCCAGTGACCAGTACCCGAAGTCGAGCACTTAATCGTAGAACAGTTTAACGAAGACCAATACCGCACACCCTCGGTCCCTACGCAGACTGACCCAAGTGGTAACCCATCCGCACACTGACCGCAGCCAGTGATGCTTGACTTCGGCGATCTGCTAGGAACCGCGTCTTAACGATTCCTTTGGGACAATAATATTCTGAAAACTTTTGAATCGTAAGGCATATAGTTTTTTTTTTTTTTTTTTGTATCATTTTAAAGTATCTAATTCCACATGGAAAATACAAAATTGAGTGAAATTGGTTGAATAGTGCATTAGTTCCTGAGAAATCGAGTTTTATAAGTACGACTTTTTTAAAATTTAATTTCTCAGGATTAATCGATTTCGCTGAAATTTTGCATTTTGTCATGTTTAAAACTTACAATGTTTTGTAATCAAATTTATATGCGAACAAATAACTTGTTTTCATAAATATATTCACTAACATAATACATAAATAGCTAAAATGACAGTTAGAGATGGAGTACTGAAAGGGTCCCCGCCAAAAATGTTTGCCAAAAATGTTACGGCACTGTTCACAAGCCTCATTCGATGCCTCATAAGTATTTATTCATTTGTGACTCGGCGCCTTGTATTTAAGAGGACGCTATATCGCAGGAAAAACTTTTCATCGCAAATTCTATTTCACCTCCGTAACTAATTTAAAATTTAAATTATAGTAAAAGTGAGTTCTGTCAAACTAAGTTTAAATTACTGAAAAAATTTTGAAAACATCAAAATGCAAACTAATTATTGGAAGTGAACTGAATTATTGGAGTGAATCCCATTGCATAATCCTAAGTTATCCTCTCAAAATTAATTCCCCTTTTGATATTTAAAAAAAAAAATTTAAAAAATATCAGTATTCGAAACTTTATGTCTTACTCTAGGCTTTGGCTTTTGGAGTTGCGTGAAGTCACTTTTTCTATAATTTAAATTTTAAATTACTTATGGAGGAGAAAGAGAGGAGGCTTTTGGAGTTGCGTGAACTCACTTTTTCTATAATTTAAATTTTAAATTACTTATGGAGGAGAAAGAGAGGAGGCTTTTGGAGTTGCGTGAACTCATTTTTTCTATAATTTAAATTTTAAATTACTTATGGAGGAGAAAGAGAATTTGAGATGAAAAGTTTCTCACATGGTATAACATCCCCTTAAGAGTCTACATTTTTGATCTTCATGTTGCCGTGATTTCTGTTGTGACGATGAGTATCAATAAATTTTCTATGTGGATGTATGAGCATACGGCCTAATACGTATTAACCAAGCATTCATAGTTTGATTTGGCTTTTTCTTTCGATTTTCATTTGCTAACAGTTAATTTCAATAAATACATTAGGTAAACCTTCATAATAGTACAGGCCAATAACTTGATCCTTAATGTTTTAAAATATCCTATAACCCTTGTGACCCTTCCAAAAAACCATAGCAGCGGAGCATCATTTCGGGACAGCTGTTCTAAAGCACAGATTGTATATTTGAAATATGTATTTAAATAATGATTTTTTTTCTGACGGCTTTTCGATGTTAGTAAAAACTATAGAATTAAAACATCTAATGATTATAAAAATACTTACATAAAGGTAATTCGATTTCTTTCGGTCATTGGTTTTCGATCAATATCCCATTCATAAAAAGGTGATCCAATTGGTAATACTTCTGATACTGATGAGACTCTATACTCTGATGTGTCAACATAAAGCATCTGCAATATAAATTATTATATAAACTGTGAGGAAAAGGAAATAAAAGGCACTAACGGTTACTAATTTTTAAAAAGTCAATTACTTATTTTATCACAATTGATTAGTTTAAAAGAAAAATAAAGGTTCTCCAAACCTAATGAATTTTGATCTAATGTTTGGAATTCCGAAATTTAAAACTCGTTTAAGATAATTCAATGCAAATATAAAGTGAATTAATTATTTTTAAAAAAAAATATCTATTTTTTATTTTTATTTTTCGGTAACCAAATTACGTTCAAATTCTTGATTTCGTTATTTTAATTTAATTTAATATTAATTATAGCATGATTCAAGAAAGTCGCATTTGTTTGTTTTTCCGTTTGTTAGTCGACACTACAATTAATAATTAAAAATAATTTTGGTTTTAAATTATCTTTAAGAAATTACGTTTTAAAAATCTGCGTAGACATTTCTCGAGTTACAAAATCAGTTGTTGAGAAATAGTGAAAAACGCAAATATAAAAATAATAAAGGACACTTCTGGCTAAACTATGCAAACTGTTTTCTAGATTGTATATGTAAAGGATACAAATATTAAGCCCATTTTAACTGCTATTTAGTAAATATTTAGAGAATATTGATTTGAATTCCTCAACAAAAAAGGTATGTTTATTCAGATTGATTACGTTTTGTATCCAATTTCTTCGTTTAATTAATCGTTTCTCCTCTAATTGGCATACTTTATTTAAATAACTGCTTTTCCTCTTTGAATCATTTAGGCTACAATTTAATACGTAAAATCTCATATTGAATCAAAAATAATTAAAAGTGTTTTTTGTCTAAAATTATATACTAAAATTTACAGTTAAATGCTTGCACCTGCCTCTTGAGTTATTTTTCTGATTTAAAAAAAAGTGAAATGTATACATTAAAAACAATTTTTTACATATAGTATTAACACGTTTAAATTTCTTGAATCATAAGTATGAAAATTTTTTGTCATTAAATAATCAATAATTTATTTATTCATTCCTATTATTATTTGCACTTGTTCTGGTATTAATCATATTAACATTTAGCATTCACTCATTACAAAAGCTACAGAAGCACTGCCTATGCAAATTTTTTATAGCATTTTCTAGAAACAGCGTTTTTCATACTCGCTTACATTTTAATTCAAGCACTCTTAGCATACGTGTTATTAATGTAGTTTAAGTTGTATGCAGAGATTAGAAATTATATGAAGGAAGTTTTTTTTTTTATCAAATTACAGAATAGTTAACAGAAATGGTTTTAAATTCAAGGATTACAGGAGTTTACAATTATTTTTAACTTTTTTTTTAAAAATTATTTTCATAAAATTAATGTTTTTTTAGTAATGCAGATAGTAAATGTTATTATCCTGAAAACTCAAATACATCATTTAAGTCATTTTTTAAAAATTATTTTCATAAAATTAATGTTTTTTTAGTAATGCAGATAGTAAATGTTATTATCCTGAAAACTCAAATACATCATTTAAGTCACTATTTTTTTTTAACATTTAACTTGCAAAACATCATTTAGTTAACAAAAAAACAACAAAAATACCTGCAATGCGAAAACTGCCTTATTATCAGAATTTTTTACAAAACAATATCAATAAACTTTTATTAAGAGGAAAGATGATTTGATTCATTTGTAAATATCATATTAAAGATACACTACTAGGTTATTAGCAATGTTACGAATTGAATCTTTTCGGAGAAGCCAATCCGTCGCCAATCAAAATAATTTTTGGTTCAGTTGTTCTCGATACACTTACGCCGGAAGGAGCACCTCTCGAAAGCTCCTGTTGTTTTTTATTTCTCATGTTTTATTATTTTCAGTTTCAGTCTAATTTGTAAATTTTTAATTGTTACGTTTTGTTAATAAATATACAGTCAAACCCCGCTATAGTGAACACGGTTTATAGTGAACTCTCGGATATAGTGAACGAAATGTTCGGTCCCGTGCCTTGCTATACGCGGATAATGTTAATTTTTGCGGATATGGTGAACCAAAAAAGTTCGGAAGTTGGATATAATGAACTTTTTTCTGTCTTCAACTGATTTTTTTTTGTAATAATTTTGAAATTTCTACTTTAAAAAAAAATACATATACCGATTTTCAAAACCATCTATGGAGGGGAATGTAGCGATAAGCATTTTTTCTTGTTTGCTTCTTTTATCTCACTTTCCCATCCCTAAACAAACAAAGCAGATGTTTCCAACCCAGGCAGACGATGTCAGATCAGTATGCATTTTATGTCAGAGGGAATGAGCAAATTATTCATTATTAGTCAAAGGGTTGGACACTAATATGTGATGATAAGGCTCTCATTTCAACTCCTTTTTGCTCTCAGTTCAGTTTAAAAAATCCTGCAAACAAGTGTCTCAAATTTAACAATGGCGAGCAGTAAACGTAAAACGTTCTCCATTGATGATAAAATGGGCATAATCAGAAAAATTTAAAATGGATGCAATCAATCTGATATTTGCAGGAAATATAAACTATCCAAATCTGCAGTTTGTAACATATGGAAAAATAGGCAATTAATAATTTCTGCTCATGAAAAAAATTTAGATGGCAGAAAAAAGTTGAGAAAAGCAGATCACAAGGATGTTGAGGAAGCATTACTGAAGTGGTTCACCAATCGAAGTATCTAAACAAATGTACGATAAATTTGCTAAGCGATTTTATGAGTCTACTTTTATGTGCTCTAATGGCAGGTTAGACAGATTTAAAAAGCGGAATAACAGAAATTCAGGAAACATTAGCTGAGAGTCGGGAAGTTTTTCCATATCTGATGTTGAGGATTGCTCATCAGCTAACGATTACTAATTTTTTTTTGTACGCAAAACAAAGAGTAATGGAAAACAACACATTTTTTGCTACTACATAATATTTTTCAGTCATTTATTTGAACAATGTGTAATAAAAGGGAGGAGTTTGGGAACCATTAGTTAAACTGCCTGTGTAACGGATATAGTGAACTCCCGGTTATAGTGAACAGAAATTTCGGTCTCTCGAAGGTTCACTATAGCGGGGTTTGACTGTATAAGCACATATTGATTGTTTATTCATTAACCAGGGCATCCAATGGTAGAAATATATTGCGTAATACGCATATCCGAAACTCGAAATAAATTTTCTATCAAGCAATGGTCTGAGCAATGGTTCATCATCCATAGATGGGAAAGAAATACGTTTACTTGTACTATTCTCAAAACAGTAAGAAAAATTCATAATGTTGCAAATACTACGTTACGTATAATCGAAAAACTCGTTATGCGGGAAATTTCGTTATCCTTTCCATCTGGATTACAATTCTTTCCATTTAGGGATTTTCGCTTTCATTTTCTATCATGAAACTTGTTCATGATCATGGGTTTAAAAAAAAACTACTTGCTTGATCCCCATGGCGTCAAAAAATAGCAGCTGGTGCATTATACCTGAATATTTTCGTAAAGAATTTTTTTTTTTCATTATTTCAGATTACGTTATCGTTTGCACTGAGATCCGTCTTTCGATTTGTTTGTCTTAGCTTATAGTACTCTTGAAAAATATTTTAATACAGAGAAGCGATGTTACACGAGCAAATGGAGCACCAATGAAACGTAAGATTAAGCAATCCTAGATTGATATAGGGGATTAAGCCACAACGAAGGAAAAATTAAGTGTGAAATATAATTTCCCGATTGCAATGGGTTCTCCGAGATTACAATGTTTGGTTACCCCCTCGTTCAAATTAAAAATGTTTAAAAATCATATAGAATTGATCACACATGAAATGCACAAGAGTCAACAAGGAACTATAAAATCTCTCAAATTTAATATTAGTAAAATGGGATTTAAAAATTGATGATTACATGTGTCACGATGCATGAAAGTATCATTTGACACATTACACTATATGGCTAAATATAATAAATTATTTACTGACTTTAAAGACCTAACAAATATGCTAGCAAAATATTATATTTTTGACTATTTTATTCATTTATTTTTGCATAATATTGAATATAAAATGTTGATTGTCCTTATGATATTTCCTAAAGCACAAAGTGGTTATATTTATTTCTCTTTCATAATAATGGTCCTGTCTATTGGAAATGTCAAATTTTCTTAGACCCCTGCTCATAATTAATCTTTAATACAACCTATATAAAATATGCTAATTAGAAAGAAAGTTTTGCAATTTGGAAAAAAAATTCTTCATTTAAAATTAAATAATCAAAACTTTAGTTCTATTCAGTGCTACATTTCTCTAATATTTAAAATGAAATGTTACCTCTTCATCTTTTGGATCTAGTTGCTGTGCAAGACTCTTGAAGCGATCTATCTGGAAATTCCAGGAATTAGTGAGAAAAAAATTTAAAGCTGAGACTGCACTATCATAAAACCGGTAAAGAGATAGCATCCTAAAATGAAGTCAAAATTATATTAGCCTGATACAATATATATTCTTGACTTATGCTCTTACTTTTAATCTTTTCAAGTCAGTCTTATTTTTACCTTACATTCAAAAGTCTTAAACATAATTAAAATGATAAATTTATTTCATTAAAAAATAAACCTAATTGAGCTTTATTCGATTTAGAAACTTGTGTTATGACTAATAGTGCTAGAGAGAAGTAAAATTAGAAGTTAACTTAAAAAGTTAAACTGTAGAAAGCTAAAAGTTGAACTTCTTTACCTATTTTGGTTAAACACAAAATTTTGAGCATAAAAACCGATATTTGGATTTTCATGTTATTTTTTTTAATCAAAATACTTTCAAATCAACCACAAAATTTATAGTATTATTTTGAAAACATTTTTCTTTGATAAATGAAAAACCGACTAAATATTTTAAACCCACTTTGAAAATTGTAACAATTTTTTAGCCGTCTTTTCCTTCTTCCAAAAAAGGGACACAATTTCTTGTCGAAATTGAGTGATGCAAAATTTACACTAAATTGAATAGTTGATTAAAAAGAAATGTTTATAAATATTACTATCGTCAGTGCATAAAGATATATCAATTTAATAAAAAAAAGCTTAAAGTAATGCATATAAAAAAGAAACTGCGTGATTGGAAGTTCTAATCTGTTTGAATGTAACTTCAACTAAACATATTTTGTCACATTTGAAATACTTAATTTTTGAGAATTCTAACGCGACAAAATCATTATGAATAGTAACATAAGCAACTCAACTAATATACCAAAAAAGGTTAAATTAAACTTGATTAATATTCACTTTAGTGAATAAATACTAGTCAATAATAGTGAAAAAATACATTCCAAGCTGAAATAAGTTTGCCACATTCAGGTCTTTTTAATAAACAAGCATTTTATTAAAAAGACCTGACCTTTTAATAAACAAGTACCATTTGATGACAAAAAAGAAAACGTCCTTGAAACGTTGATGAAAAAAGAAAGATTTAAAGATTTCCTTTATATTGACAGCTCATAAAGAATAAATAAATAAATTTAAAAAAATATGTTGTCAATTGTTTGTTTTTTTCCTCCGAGACCATAAAGCCTATTACAATAAATAATCAAAATCACAGAGGGAAAATAAGCAATACTATGCAATAGGTTTAACTGCATGCGCATGGTGCTTTGTTATAACCGCCCTTAATATATCAAGTAATCTAGAAGGCAAATTCCGTTTTAGATAAGTAAATTAAGGTAGTAAAAAAAATAAAAGTAGTCCTCAGGTCATAAAATAGTTTATCTATTATATTTCCTTATTAAATAAAGGTTACTTCCAAATAATTGTTCCTTTTTTCATTTAACGGATAAACGGAAATTTCTTTCTGTATTACCCGATATAAATTAACAATTCTTTTATGAAAGGAAGTTAAACACACTGAACATTACAGATCTCAAAATAATATAAGTGAATAAAAAAAACAATTCCGAGCTCTGTTAATTTACAAATCAACTAATTATTCTTTTTATAAAATTAATATGGCTATAAATTATTACCTGGGCTTTCTACCACTTAGCCGTAGTAGCATATCAATCACCAGTGCTGGTATGTAATGTTCAAACAGCACGATTATCGCATAAATAAATTTATTCTTCTGTATTGATGATGACGGTCTCTGAAAAGATCTTGGTAGTGGGTTATTAACTGCCATGTTAAATAATGTATCATGATATTCTTGAAGAGTTGGTTGCAATAACTCTCCTGCTACGCAATTAATAACCAAAGGAGTTGATGATCTGAAAGTGATAAGAAAGATTATAACAAAGGCTTAAAATAAAAGTTTAACAAGTATCTAAAGTTGGATGCTGACAAACACAAATAATTTAAGTGTACAGCTAGTCACATAGACTAATAATTGACGTGTAGTGTTAAAATCAACTATACTTTGACGTAAACAACTGCTAACAAAATGTGTGTGACTCTAGAGAGTAATGCTAAGCAACGCCGTCTAGTTATTGCTTTGTTTGTTGGAAATAGTAATGAACATTGTAAAAGCACTTGAACGGTGTTTCGAAAAAACTTTACTGCACATATAGTGTATACTTTACTGCATATATAGTGTTAACTTTCCAGCATATACAGTGCATACTTTACTGCATATACGAGTATAGTGTAATCACCGCAGTGCTGACGTAAGATATCCCCAGTGGTAGACGGATCATGGGTTTGAATCCCCTTGCCATCAGGCTAACCGTGGGAGGTTTTCAAAGTTCTCCTTTCCATATAAAGCTAATTTGTGTTAGTTCTATCAAAAAGTCTTCCACGAAGGCTAGTTTGTCCCAACGCTTAATCCAGGAGTTTTCTTGTCTTCTGAGTTAGGTTCAAAATTACAAGGCTACGGAGTTGAACATTAATGGTAGTAAACTCAGAAATGGGTCGGCTGCTCAACGCCGGCTATAAATAAAGCATAATGACTCGAAAGTAACCCTAAACTTTACAAAAAAAGTGTTTAATGGAACTCATTTATGTTTACTTGATAAATAGAAGAAATATTTATGATTATGACGTAGATAAAAAAAAAAAAAAAAATTTGAAATTTTCCACCAAGTCGCACCAACTTTAGATATTGATAATTATCTTCAGAACTCAACGTAGCACTACATAGAGTTAGTTATCTAAGCATCCGAAAATCTTATATATTTAAGAGAGGATATATTTGAGGAACAAAAGTTAGTATGCAAGTGCATTTATTTCTGTGAAAACAAGTTTAAAATCTTAGAGAACAATTTTATATTTTAAAAAATTTGATACTTTTGTTCGGAAAATTCTCTGCGACTGAATTCATTGAGGTCTATTCTCTTACCTAGTGATAAAAATTTTCAATGACAAGTAAATACTTCCAGCATAATGCGAAAAAAATAAATTCTTCTTTTTTTCTAAAATGACCACTATTTCATAAAATTGCTAATTTTTCTGTAATTTTAATCTTTTGAAATTTCAAATATAAACTGAAAACGATTTCGTAATTAAAAAAAAACTATGAAACATAAGCTTTTAAACAAAGCAGACGATTTTATTTTAAAGAACAAGCAGACGTTATTTTAAAGACTGAATCGTGTATCGCAGGCAGAAGCTTCTTGTTTCATGGCATGCATTCATGTTCCAAATGGCTGCTTTTATCTTATGAAAAACAATGAGAGTTTACTGATATTATGTGCAAAAGTTTATACATGGCTAGAATTTAATTGAATTTCTAGAAGATAATAATAAAATTTAATAAAATTCGGAACCATTTCAGAATTCTTTTAGAAATTTTAGTCTGTTGGAAGCTTGAACAGATATTTTCTCAGTACAGCTGGAATTTGGTTCATAAAAAGTTGATCGAGAAGAACAACGAAAGGTAATTTCAAAAAGAGGTTTTATTTATTATTTTTTCTTAGAATTCGCAGATTTTCTTTATTTCCTTTACAACTTTTATAACAAAAATTGAATTTTATATTTTTCTACATGAATCATATTATTAAAACACAGATTAATGAAAACTATATTTTGCTATTCGACGAACACAATAAAAGTGATTTGAGTTTTTAGTTCGATTCAGAGATTTAACACTTAATGAGTAATTATTATTTTTCTATTTGATTTTACTTATTCTACTTACTTTTATGTTTTTCAATACATTTTCAAAAATTATAATTTAAATTTTGCATATTCTCGTCGGTGAGATTTTTTTCTGGACATGGGTCAAAATGTCTTGTTTATGAAAATGGTCACAGCTCCAAATGCGTGCTTAAGAAAATGGACATAGCTATTTAAAAAAAAAAGGATATAGCATTTGATTTCCTTTCTCAGACTTTTCGAATGAAAATTGTTTTTCTTTAAAGAATAAACTAACAAATCCAAATAAATTCGTAATGAGATGTAGTCTATTTGCCTAGATCCTTTAATACATTTTTTTTAAAATAAGTCTTTCTTGAAATGGTAATAAAAGGTTGTCATTAGTTCAGTCACTCCAACCTCAAACTTTGCCCCATAATCTGCGCCTGATTTATCATAAGAAATAAGAGATCTGGGCCCCATATTCTTTAGGACCCACTAAATGTTACAAATAATTTTTTTCCTTAAGAATTGTATATTAGCATTTTGAGTAAACAAAAATTAAAATAAAATTAAGCTAAATTTACAAATGCATCATAATTTACTTATAAATATTTTAAAAGCAATTCGTAAATAAACAACATCTAAATTTGGCTTAAAGTTATGATTCGGGTGCCATAACAGTTTCGCTCCCAGGGCCCCTACATTTCTTAATCAGTCTCTGACAGTAATAATTATGCTTAATGCTTTTTAAGCAAGGAGATCTAAGTACAAAATTCCTAGTTTAGTTATTAAATTTCGGTTGATAATTGAAAAGTAACATTTTTGGTGTGTCGATTTTCTTAAATATGCATTTCGAGCTACGTCTCTTCTCTGAAAAGGACGCCATACTACGGGAGAAACTTTTCGTTGCAAGTTCTCTTTCACCTTCATAACTAATTTAAAATTCAAGGTATAGAAAAAATGAGTTCAGACAAATCTAGAGTAAGCCATGAAGTTCAAAATACGGAAAAGAAATTTTTAAAATAGCTAAATAAAAATAAATTATGTGAAGATAATGCAAGATTACGCAAAGGAGAAGATCTCTTCCAATAATTTGTTTGTATTTTGGTATTTTGAATATTTTTCTAAGCCATAAAAACTTTAACTTCATGGCTTACTCTATGATTGTCTGAGCTTACTTTTTATTTCTTTTAAATTTTATATTAGTAATGGAGGTGAATTTGCAATCAAAAATTTCTCACGTGGTATGGCGTCCTCTTAAGCACGCAGAATTATAATATTAATAATATTAAAATTAATGATAATCGAAAACTCACCGACGTTCTACTTTTTATTTCGTTTGTAAACAAAAAAAAAGTCAACGATTAGTGAATTTTGACTTTTTAATGTTTTTAATTTGAATACATAGTGTTTTTAGTATATATTTTAAATCATTTTTTAATGAAATAAAAAAATGGAAAAATAATAATAAAGTAAAATAAAAAAAATTATGGAGCAATAAAACATTAGAAGAGAAATTAAAGTAAACAATAAGTTTTTATCATATTAATACACAGAATTAAACTTCCATATATATTGATTAATTTGCAAGGGTAGAAAAAGAAAACTTGCAAGTTTTTAAAAGTAAGTAAGATAAAAATTTGGATTAAAATGATATCACGTGTGATTTCTCAGTCGTTTTATTTAAAAATTGGGGTTTACATACAGAAACATCATGTGATTTTTCTTAATACCATTCAGAAATCTGATTCTCATCAGCTGAATAAATGTTTAAATATGTAAAAGATAGCGTTGGCCAATGTTCTCATATGAACAAACTTTCCATTTTTTCCCCTATAACATGAAAGTTTTATTAAATGAGCTTCGAAAGTCAATAATAAATTTCAAGTGTCTTATTTGTAAGGCTAATAGAAAATGCAAAAATGCAAATATTTTTAAAAATGTATTAATTTAGAAAAATAAAACTAAGAACCTATAAAATCAATTAATTAGAAACGAATGAAATTAAATATTCTGTAGAACAATCTCAAAGCAATAAAAACAAAAATCTTTCTTTTTGATAGAATTAAGTTTTTAAAATATGTATGATAATGCCAAAATTACCTGCCAGTTGCTACACTCCAAGCGGTTACGATGTGCGTATTAGCCACAATATCGACAGGAATTAAATCTATTTTAGTGTTTGGGTCGCCAGGAATAGCTCGGACAAAACCTTTACCAACCTAAAAATAAATAGTAATCATTTATGACTTCGTCAAACATAAAAAATCTAACGTAACTATAACAAATAATGATAGTGTGCAAGTTATAGACAAAAGTATGCCAAGACTAGTAATTTCGAGTGGTATTTTGATTTATCAAACGAAATAAGTGACTTGTGTAACAAATCTGGGAAAACAGGCATGCCTTCAAGGAAGTTAAAATTGAATATTAATAAACATTCCTGAATCAAAAATGTTATTTTATGAAAATAAGATTTGAGCGGCTCTCTCCAATGTGCAATGAGACAGACCTATGCATTTGTATCCACCGTTCTTGTCCTCAAAGAAGCATTACTTTTTATTAACTCATTAATGTCTACCCACAAAAGGTGGTGTTAATGCATGAAAAGCGCATTAATAAAAAAAGTGATAATGTAGTTGTTAAGATCATGCTGATATTTCTATTATCTACCATTTTATCGTTAAAAATACACCGTGTCATGATTTTAGATCCAAAAAATCTGGTATTTAATTATTATTTAGCTAAATTTATACATTATTAATATATTGTGTTAAACAAAACTCTCTTGTTTCTTCAAAATAAATCATAATAATGAAATACTTGCTCTACCACTTTTTTTCTTATTGAAAAAAGCCACTGTCATTTAAAAGGATATTAGACACAAGTAGGTTACAAAAAAGTCACTTTGTTGAAAAAATATTCTCTGGAGTAAATTTTTTTGCGGAATTATGGAATTATTAAATTGAAAATAGCAAAAAATATTTTTTAATTGTTACATATTAAACAGTTACCGTCGCGATCAATTGTCATTGTTTTGCCCTTTATGAGCGAAAGTAAAGAATAAAGCTTCGGAAGAATGATTAAATTAAATTTCTTGTTTATACTCTGCCAGGAACATTAATAAGAGCCTATTATTTTTTTAAAGAAAGAATCTAATGTAAAACCAGTCAACTCTTGTGTAGCAATTAGTGTGGGAGAAAATTATACGAATCTGTTGCTTTTTTAAATTGCATTAGGCTGTCTCCAACAGTTCATAAATCTATTCTTGTCATTACAACAAGTCCTTCAAATAAATAAGCTAAACGTGATTATTCTGTAAGTATTGCATAGAAACTGAGTTCCTAACTTTTTTAATTGTTGAGGCTCTGAAAAAAAAACTTCACAAATAATTCCTTGTTTAGAAGTTTTTTCTCCATATTATAGTAGTTTATATAGAAAAGAATCTAAGTCCATATAAGTTGTTCCGAATCAATTCAGATGCTACAACTAAATAAATTTTCGTAATATTTTTAGAAAATAATTTTTCGGGTAATTTTCCAGCTGTGTGTAACTATAACCACTGTTTTAGCATTTCTGGTGAGATTGAACATTTAAAACTTTTGAACTTTCCATAGGTCTAATTCAAACGTGATTTTGTACTAATCTAATGGAAGTAAAATTGTCTCCCGTTTAATAAAAAAATAAGGAAAAAAAACACTTACTGCAATTCCTAAATCTACCATTCCTGAGCCTTCTTCTATATATCCCTATAAAAATTAATTTAATAAAATGTTTTATTCTGTTGTAAATAGAAGAGAAACTTAGGAAGTTCTTAAATTTCATCTGAATCACTACTTTTTTGATAGATTATTAACTTACCGGCAATATTCCTTTCCATGAACATAGTATTATAGATGGGCGAACAATAGCTACTGGTAAATCTGAAGCGTAATCTAAAATAATGTTTTCTGATAAACATTTGCTGAAGGTGTAGTGATTCGGCCATGAGGGTTTGCACATGTCCATTAAAGCATTCAAATTATCATTATTACCATTGCTGTTGAATAAAAATTGAAAAATCAAATTAGATTAAAAAAATATATAAACTAAAAAAAATTATTAGTTAAAATTTATAAAGATGATTTTTTAGAAAATTATTTTCTTACGTGTTTTCAGTTTTACTTAAAAATACCTTTGTTAAAAACCATTTTTAACAAATAAAACTTATTAAAGCAATTTTATAAAAGAAATTAAATTTGTAGTAAGAACTCACTCCAATTCATCCAAAAATCTTTGAGAAGGAAATGGTAATCTATAAATTATTTCTTCGATCTTCCTTTGTCTGTTACTATTTGAATAAGCGGTTGACGTATACACTAAAGCCTGAAATATATATAAACCTTTATTTAGATTCAGATGATTTATATTTATTTTGTCTTCTAAATTGATAAATATTATTCCATCAAATCCAATATTTGGATAAGTTCATGGATTTTGATAGACCTTTAAATTCCATAAACTTATCTTTTCATATTTTAAAATAAAAGCTTGAAGTTGTAAAAAAAACTTTAGGAATACCATACATAATAGATTATTTTCAACTTACATCTATTCTCTTCAATTTTCTGCTGAACTCTATAACATTGTAAGTTGCTTTTGAATTTTGCAAGACCATAAACCTAAAAAAAAAATAATTTTATAATTACGTAAGAACGGTATAAATAGAACATTTTCTCAAAACAAATAAGATGCATAAACCGATTTTTTAAATTATAATTAAGCTAACTGTTATGAAAAAGGGGAAAAAGCGATCAGCCTCAATTTTTTATAGAATAAAGCACGGTACTATTCTATGTAGTTGTTTGTTTGTTTTCTAAAACCTAACTGACATTTTCAAATTTGTGAGAAAATGTTCAAAATTCCTAAATTCTATTTTTTATATATAGATTACGAATTCTTTGATAGCTCATAGAACTAACACTAAACAACATTCATGTCCACCAATTAGAAAAAAAAAATATTATGAGATAACCAGATATGAACACTACCTAATTTCAAACTAAATCATCCGTTACAACGTTTCTTCTAAAATTTTCAAAGATGTAAGAAATTACATCACCAAAAATTGTGAAACTCCTAAATGAATTTATTAAAATATATAATTATAAATTAATTTCATGACCTTTTAATATTAACCAAAAAAAAACACTTCGTCGAATACTTTTACATATTTTCGTGTCCGACAAATAAGATTGTTTTTAATTTATATACCTGCGTTAGATTTAAGAAACTTGAAACATTTTTCTACACATTTAAACTATAAAACCATTTTTAGTCTTTTTATTTATAATGTTATTTTATTATTTTATAAAATAAATATATTTGGCATCCATGAATTTTAATGAACTCACAAAGAAGTTGGCCGAAGTTCCACTCACCAATCGGACTGAATTGTTTTGTAAATAGATTTCAGATTTGAAAATCTGTGTATATAAAAGGCAGAGCCTTTACTCCCTGACTCATCACTCATTAATTTTCCCACTTCCCATGAAGTTAGATAGCTAAAATTTCGACTGTTCGGTTCTTATAAAATAAATAGAAAAACTAAAAAAATTCATTTCAATATTTTGTAATTATCGGTATAATTAGCCTAATTGACAGTAATGCTAAATAATAGAAATTGAAATCTCAAATTTGGACAATGTCTTCTTTATGAGATCAATATAAAAATTTAAAACGTTTCATTTCCGATATGTAGTAATAATTAAGGTAATTAGGGTTAATTAGTCTAATTAACAGTAATGCAAAATAAAACGTTTTTTTTTCTTCTTCAAAGATAGAAGTCTCAAATTTGGACTATGTGTCCCTAATCAGATAAATTAAAAAATCTGCAACAATTTCATTTCAATACTTTGTTTCCTTTTCCAAGAATTACTGAGAAAATGATATTCATTTACAGTAATTTTGATCCATAAATCAAAAGTATAATCACAGGTAAACTATAGTTCGTTCACCAGGAGTTGGCACTTGGCTCCGCCTTCATCACGTGGTATCCGACGATACTATTTCGCTATTTTTGGGAAAAGGATGCGAGCAATCCTGAAAGAGGTCTATATTTGGCGATCGTATGACAAAAATAGTTATTTTGCAACCTTTATGAGCATTTTTTTAACATTGAATATTTCATAAATTTGAGGATATTTCTCTCTTTTGAGTGAATAGTTTGTCCTTTTTAAGACATTTTGCAGCAATATATTTAATTAGCTAGAGTAACGAAAGGTATAATAGCAGATGATAATGCGATTAAAATAAGTGATTAAAAAATAATTCACTGTCTGCGTTTGGCGCGCATTAAGGGTTGTCTCAATTTCCAGACCGGAAACGTTTCTCCTCTTACTCCTGCTCTGAAATAAACTCTTCGTCCGAGGAGGTGGAGCCAAGTGCCAACTCCTGGTGAACGAACTATAGCTGGCTGCTTTTAATAAATTTTAGATACAAAATTTATTTTATTTATTTCAAAGTAATTTGAAAGTAATAAATTATTAAAAACTTCAATTTTAAGGCTAAATAAGTTGCCAAGTCCTAATCGTTCCACAAACCTTAATCTTTGCGTTTTAAGAAACTAAAACTTAAAGATTAAATATAATAGAATAAAAATTCTATCTTTTGAGCGATAAATTCCGCAAGTTTTCGCATAATCCTGCATTCTACAAGTATTTTTGTGAAAACATTTTGATGGGTGAATTAGAACTATCGATTTATCGATTTAACGAGATTCAAACTTCAAACGAGACTCTTAAATTTCAAACAAGAAATCGTTTGAAATAACTTTGCGATTTCAAATGAGAAAACGTAATTTTAAGTGCTTATTATTTTCACTCAAATGTTCATGAAACCATAATTTAAAAATTTTATGCTATTTAACTTAGTTTTCTTTACAAGTCCAAGCTAGTTCATAGACAGTAAGAGGAAAATATTCTATAAGCACATTCTAAGAAGTAAATTCTCAGTTATTATCAGTTCTTTTTCTCTTCCTTTCTCTTCGTTTTTTTTCTTTCAAACTCTCTCGTGTGGGGAAATGGAAAAGTCTAAGATTTGCACCAGTTTAGGATATTTCTTTTTTTTTTTTCAATTCATAAACAAAAAAATAATAAAATATTTACAGATTGCGATAAATTTGCCGTCATCCCAAATTAACATCGTTTTTTGAATGCAACACTGGAGTAAGTTTTTATATGTTAAAAAATTAGACCTCAAATGCTTTTCATTTTTACTAAACTGTGGCTTTTCTCTATGTTGAAGTTTTGCGTCATTTTCAGAATAAGCATGGAGTGCGTTAGCTGGGCTAAACTTGATTTAACAGTCATGAGTAATTGTTGCTAACTCACAGCAGTTATAAAAATAGCATATTATTCGTAAAAAAAAACAGCATTTCATAGGAGCCTTTGAAAAACCGTCTTAACGAATAATTGGTGATTATTTTCCGATAATTTTGCTAATGACTTGAATATAGACTAATAATGACCTGATTATAAACTGTAATAATGATCTGAACGACAATCAATGGTTCATCAAAAGATGAAACTTACTTGAGGGGTTTCAGAAAACTAATACTGGCTGCACAATGAAAAACCACTGAAACTTCTTCAATCAATTTTAAGAGATCAGCTTGACTCATTCCTAAATTAGGCAATGTCACATCTCCTGCTACAACATGAACTTTCTTAAATACATCTGGTTGTCTCTCTTTCAGTTTATAAAATATCTATAAGAAACACATTAATTGCAAAGGGGTTTACAATATTAATAAATGCTTCTCTGGGCATAGTAAAATAAAAATAAGTGTCGAACTAAAATTAAAGATATTAAATTAATAAAAATGTAGATTTTGCGCTTTGATGTTTGTGATTCATAGCCATAATATTTATTTTTAAAATTTGTGAAAATATTAGTCTCTTCATCTGTTTTAATCTCGTAAATACACAGTAAAGAAGTCCGGATCAAACTATACAGTATAAAGTAACGGCACTTTGGGTGCATCATCCGTAAAACCCATTTTATGGTAAAATCCTTTTTCACCGTAAAATATTAAACTGTAACTTTTGCAATAGTCTTTATTTAACTAGAGTGATTTTGCGATTTTACGGTAAATATCACTGTGAGATTTTTTGTTCCATAATATGTTCCGGTAAAAATGAATATTACGGTAAAAAGTACCAGCACCCATTGCATTTTACCGTTATTTAATACGAAATTTTTACACTGTGGAAAATTGGTTCTTAATTTTAGATATACAGGGATATTAAAATGAATACAAGGAGTAAAGAATTTTCTTAAGGAAACTATTTTGATATTTAAGACTTATCAGTCATGTGAAATTTATTAAATTTGTTTGTTTAAAATATCGCTTATTTTTTTATTTTTTCCCGAAAAGGAGCTTATTAAATTTTTTTTTAGCTTACTCTGGACAAAAGATAAAAAAGAAGGAAACTAAATAAAGTAAGAACTGTTAAACCAACGTTCTATTTAAGTAAGTGAAACAATTTTTTTTAAAATTTGAATGGTTATTTGAAATACACATTCACATTACAAATCGTATTCCTTTCAGATATCTAAGAACTTAAAATTTATATGCTGATCAAATTTTTGCATTCATATTTTTGCATCATTCGCAATCATATTTTCGTCCTGTAATATTAAATATTATTAATTGTATTTCATTGAGTATAGCATTATAATTGCAAATGAAGTTCAATTATTTTGCTCACAGTGAATTTTAATTAAGCAATTAAGTAATTACAAAACACGCACTTTCAAAAAACCTCAGAATCTTGTTTAAGTTAGTCTTCGCGTACTAAAAATTTTTAATTTTTTTCAGTAGAACTTTCTAAAGACACAATAATATTTTTATTAAAATACTCTTCTGTGTCTGAATATTAAAACCATCGGAATTTAGCTAAACTAATTCATGTCAAGGAGTAATTGTCAATTCATTGCTAGTAACAAAATATGTCAAGGTTATGGAATTCTAAGTAAGATTAAGGTAAAACAAAATGAAATAAAATATATTAAATTTTGCAAGAAATATGTTTTATATATTTACCAACGTAAGTTGTTAAAAACTACTTATTCAATTTTTCGTCATAATCGCTTTTTGATTATCGCTTTAAAACTCAGTATAAAAAAGCAAATTATTAATTGTTTTTAATGATTGACTAAATTATTTACAAAAGCTTATTTACATTAATGATTCCTAATCTATCAACTATATTTTCTTTTTGGGTATAAAAAATTAAATGTGAAGAACTTAAAGGCTGGAACAATAACGAAATTGTAATTCATTTATGTAGGATTTTTTTTTTCTTTTTTACCAAACTAAATGCCTAAAGCATCATTTCAGGTAGATAGATGTAAGCCACTAATTACATTCATTATTATAAGCTGCATATGCATCATAAAATTATTAACTCTGTATATTATAATTTAGATTTCGATTTAATCAAGGTCGAGTCAAGCGTTAAACGTAAGATGCTCTACTTCTTTCCAAAATCAATGCTTCAAGGATTTGCCTCTTAATTTCTATAATATTTAATATTATTATACCAAATTTGGTCGAAAAAGAATTCCACTAAAATCTACTTTCTTCAAAGATCCCCATGATTTCAAAATCTTTTTGCCATAACTTAAGTCATTAAGGAACAACATTTAAAAAAATGTTTGTCATAAAAAATCTCGCTTACAATCTATCAAAATCCCCTTTAAGAAACCAAAGGGGAACAGTGGGTATCCAATGCCTCTCCGTCAAATTTTTCATGCAAATAAAGTCTTCCATAGAAATGATTGACACTTATTTCACATTCTGTTTTCATAATTGCTTTACGTTTTTCAGACAGGTGTGAAGGTCTCATATCCTGTATAATAATAAGCTTGGAAGCAATTGAACCCCTTAATGCGCAGATTTTTTGAAAAAAACCAGCAAAAAAAAAATCAATCGTTTTAATGTAAAAAAGAAAAAAGGAAAAAAAAAGAAAAGAAGAAAAAAACGCTTTATATTAAAAAAACACATTGTTATTTTCAATTCTCGATTATATTCGAGTGGGAAAAATTATAGCAGCATAAAATACAACGCTGCTCGGATTATCTCGAGTGTGCACAGTTTGGCCTGTTTAGCGCTCTCGAATTAACTCGAGCGCACAAGTTAAGGGGTTAATGAAAAGCAATATTCTCAAATTATTCAAGAGAGTGTTTTTGGTAAAAAATAAATAAATAAATAAAATAAAAAAACACGATTTTTTTAAAGTAATTAGATGCTTCGGTGTATTATGCTGTTGCCGAGTTCTGTTAACCTGTTAAGTACCTATCTGGAAACAATGGTTAGGAAGTGTTTCATATAAAAAAAATTCACCTTTAGAAAAAACTTGGCTAATCCTTTTAAAACCGGCGTTGAACAGCTAATAAATTCTGAGTTTACGACTATCACTGTTCAACTTCTTAACCTTGTAATTTTGAACCCAATCCAGAAGAAAAGGGTGCTCCTTGATCAAGTATAAGGTCTTACTAGCCTTTGTGGAGGACTTTTTGAGGGAACTAATCAGCATTTGCGTTAAATGGAGAGGAAAATCCCCAAAATCCTCCCATGGTTAGGCCGATTGCAAGGAAATTCCAACTCATGATCAGTCTTGCACTGACTATATTTTACTTTAACACAGTGGTCAATGCGAGTCGGGAGCACAGTTGGGATTCGAACCTGGTTCACCTCAGTGGGATGCGAACGCTCTATCTGCTGCGCCACCGTGGCCCGTATCTATTCAATATATTTTTCCAAGTCTTTGAAATGAAAACTCCATGATGTGGCTTAAACCTGTCATCAGAACCTGTCATTAGTATTTTTAAAATAGTATGTAGAAATAAATAGTTACATACTACTACATTAAAAAAAATTATGAATTCTGTTTCCTCTGCTGTATTATTGCCTTTATAACCAAAAAATAAACGATATATTTCATGAAAATTCCAAGGAAGTGTTTTATTAGGAGCGCTGCAAATTACCTTCTTAAAATATTCAATTTGAGTCACTGTAACAAAAAATATTTTGAACCGTTGAAAATAATTGTTAAATTTCCAAATATGTTAAGACATTTGGTAGTGTGTTCTTGTACCCTTCTAATATGTACTCTACTTACTGATTTTCATAAATTAATCAACTAACATAGACATTTATTTATATTATCAATAGTCATTTTTTTAACACGACATTCGTAAAAGATTAGGGGGTTATCAAATATAAAGCTAAAGAAAATAACATATTAAAAGAAAAATTAGCATACTTAAAATGAAATCTAAATCAGTGATGTCATAAATTTATCATGACATCGCTAATTTTCCCAGAAGCAAGAAATTGTTTTAATGTGAACATCAGATGATTCTTTTGATCTCTCAAATAACGAAGAAAAAATCTATTGCATAATGATTTAAATAACAACTGTCGAACTCAATATGCGTGAATAGTTTTCATTCATGCGTAATTGTTGTATTAATTTTGATATTACAGAGTAATGCCAGTGTTTCAAATAGTTGAGTGTGGCCTGACGACAAAAACCTGTGAGAATTCAGTTAAAAATTTATATTTTTAAAATTCTTTCACATGTTTTTCAACAAAATTTTAAAATCATACATAAAAAAACTCAAAATATATATTTTAGAATAAACTAAATGTAAAAGATGTGTATTAAACTAATTTAAATTGAATATATTATTCAACTGAATACAAATTAAACAATTTAATTGCAATTATTAAGATTAATTACTCATGGTAATACAAATTTGCATCTTATTTAGAAATTGAAAATTTTTTATGATAGTGTTATGGGTGAAATTATAAATACGATAATTACAAGTAATTATTAATCGAGAAATTTTATGATGCGGAACCTTTCTGACAAAGAAATTATAATCAATTTTCTGAAACGATTTTGAGGGGAAATTTTACAAATGCTGAAATTTTGAACTTTATTTTGAAAATTAAATTTGCCCTTTTTTCAGTTTTCTCCACTTTGTCATTAGCAATACGAGGTTCAACCTTTGTGGCGAATCTAGTTAAATAAATGCTTCAGCGTTATTGCAAGAACAATAAGTCGAGAAAAAAAAATTTATCTTTTGATGAAAGCAAATCACTTACTTAAATATAATTCGAATCTTTGTATTATGTCATCATATTACGACACGTATTATAATTTCGGTGCTCACTAGAAAAAAAATTGTAAAACAACTTAAATTCATAAAATAATTGTAATTTTAAAAATCATTCCAATATTGCACTTCATAAAATAAATAGTATCCAAAGCCAGCTCTTACTTTTCTCGAATTAAACTATTTTTATTTACTCATTTTAATTTACCTTTAGCTTTACAAAAAATATTATACCGAAGTTAATTTATTTTGCAAATCAAGAAAAAAATCAAGAAAAGATAATTTTTGTCTAAAATCAGAAAATAATAGGTTTTTTAATAAAATATGATAACTGTTATAAAAAAAATATAACAATTTTGTTAAAGTGCATCAAATGTATGGAAAAAAAAAGACAATTACAAATTTATTCATTTTCTAAATGAAGTATATACTTCTCATTCTTATTAACACCTCACCACTTTACGAATTCTTGAAATTTTATTTTTGCCCAATACAAAAAAAATCGAAAAGAAAATAATATTCGCTCTTAACTAATATATGTAATATTTATAACAAAAATAGTTACTAAAACCCACCAAAAAAAGCGAACTCAAAACTATTTGATGTGGATTCAACTATGAGAACGAGAAAAAAAAGGTAACGTTTGCCAAAAAATAATAATGATTATTTTAATTTATCTTTACAAAAGTTATTTTTATATTTAATTTTCATTTATTTTGAATATACAACGAAATTAATATGTTATAATTTAATATTTATTTAAAGGACATTCAAGGATAAAAAAGGGTCAAGTCCATATTGGGTATCACCTTCAGTGTTTTTAAGAGTAAAATCAAAGTATTAAGCAATATTACTCGTCTCGAGGTAAATGTCTTTCTCATATAACCAGTATTTCTCAAAGTCTATGACCTCTTATAAGTCCTTCATTTTGTGATGAAATTTTAATCATTGAATATACCGGAAGAAATTATACGTGATAACTATTCTCAATGGAGAAAAAAAAATTCCATCAAGTTTGCGAAATAAATTAATGGGAAATAAAAATTGTGTATGTGAAATTTAGATTCATATGCAAATTAGAGAACCGTATAATCTAATATCACTTACCTTCCTTTTGAAAATGGCATCTTTTCTACATTCTGGTTGTATTCCTTTTTTTTCTCGCAGTAGAATGTAAATGGAGCATATGCCTGGACATGCTCTCAGAAGAGTTTCTAGAATAATCTAAAATTGAATAAAAATTATAGTCATTAATATGTTTTATAATCTGTTCACATAAAATTGGAAATAAATGAGATATAAATTTGCTTTATGTCTACTTTAACCCACGATATCAACTACACTATAAATAATTCCGGATAAAATTGCTGAATAAAATACCGGCACTTTGGGGGCCTATTTTACCGAAATCTCCTTTTAAATCTATTTTACCGTAAAATCCATTTTTTCCGTAAAATATTATGCCGTGATTTTTACAGTAATATTTATTTAATTAAAGTGATTCTGTGATTTTACGGTAATTATTGTTGTAAAAATTACAGTATAACAGACTTTTTGTTCCGTAGCATGTTCAGGTAAAAGGTACTGGCACCTTGAGTGCTGGTACTTTTTACCGTAGTTTGATTCAGAATATTTTTTACAGTGTATTAGAGAGCATTTATCTGGTTCAATGCGGATCTGAATGGAATAAGGCGGTGCAAGCTGCTTTTTTAAAGAATCGATTTTACAGTTATGGTAATAAAATCATTGAGTGACTAAGTGATTATGCGGTAATTATTACGGTAAAAATTATGGTTTAAGAGTTCTTAGTTCCGTAACATGTTCCGGTAAAATTGAAGTTTGCAAGAAAAAGTACCGGCATCCTGAGTGCCGGTATTTTTTATCCTACTTTGGTCCAGAAATTTTTGCAATGTAGTAAAAATTAGATAAGTTTAATTAATCGTACATATTTTAGCAATTAATTGTATTTCGTACATATTTTTAGCATGGTATTTGCTTGTAAACGCTAAGATTCTTCATTGATTTTGGGATATAAATTTGAGGCATTCTTTCCCTAAATTCTGTAAAAACTAGTATCAAAATTGAACTTGCAAACACTACCTTAAGCACCTAAACAGAATCGCGTTCCTGGATAGAATTAAACTTCCCCTTGGACATTTTAGATACAACAATTGCGATTAAAAAAAACTTTATTTGTCACTAAATTTACATTCGGCAGAAATTAGCTGTCTTATTTATTTCCATTAGTCTATTAGTTCCAATAATCTATTTTAAATGTCATTGCTCATTAAAGTTCTAAAAATAAATTGACATAGAATATTACTTACAACGCAATATCTTTCAAAAAACCTAAGAAATAACCTCTTCACATTTATTGGATAGGAGAAAATAACGCTTGATAACTCAAAAAATTACATAGAGTACATACACTCTATAACAAAAAAATCGACGCTCCAAGAAGGAGTTGTCCGATTAAAACAATAATTAGTGGATAGGAAGACAATGTACAGAATAGTAAATGATTCAAATTTCAGAACAATTGAATAATTTATTGCAGAGTTTCAGTAAAAAGTTCAATAAGGTGTTGGCCCACCTCTAGCCTGGATACAAGCTGCCACACGGCGTGGCATAGACCGATAAAGCTCCCGGATGGTCTCTTGCGGTATTTCCTGCCAAATTCGATCCAATTGTCGAACGAGGTCATCAACATTCCGTGCCAGATGCAATGGCCTTCCCATCATATCCCAGACATGCTCGTTGGGAGAGAGATCTGGTGATCTGGCAGGCCAAGGAAGAGTTCGACAAGCTTGCAGACAGCTCATAGCAACACGTGCTGTATGTGATCTGGCATTGTCCTGCTGAAAAACCAGCCCAGGGCGCTGCAAAAGGAACGGTAGCAAAACAGGTCTTAGGATGTCGTCGACGTACCGCTGTGCAGTAAGTGTACCTCTAATGACGACCAAAGGGGTCCGGCTGTCAAAGGAAATGACACCAAAGACCATAATGCCCTGTTGAGGGCCGGTGTGGCTTGCAATAGTGAAGGCAGAATCCCCCCTCTGCCCTGTGCGTCTCCAAACGCGTCTTCGATGATCGTCAGGACACAGTTGGAAGCGGGATTCGTCGCTGAAGACTATAGGTCCCCAGTCGGCATCATTCCAGCCTGATCTGCTCAAAACATTAATGCATACGAAATTTCAAAGCAATCGTATGATTGCTTCTTGGTGCGTCGATTTTTTTGTTATAGAGTGCATATAAGCATATATTCGAATTCGAAATTACTAAACGATAATAAAATTATAAATTTTTTAGTTTTAGATAGTTAATTTAATACAGTACATTTGTCTGTAATAAGACTGCATAAAAAAATTTACTTTCATTTTTGTTTACATTGTCAAAAATTCTGAAATACCACGCATTGTATTTATCTGGTTCTGATAGGGTGAGGACCTTATATTTCACACGTTTCTAGATACTCTTTACATATTTATTCGAGAATTATTAGAGAATATTAAGTATCAATGATTAAAGGCTTATTTACTTCCCGCTCCTTCCATACTTCTTTGATGGTTGGAATCAGTTCTCTTTATACTTTCAAATAATAATTAAAATTCACAGAAAACTTTTTTTTTATTAATATTATACATCAGTGTTTCTCAACCTGATTTACTCGAAGGACCGGTTAAATATTTCTGCATTTTAACGCGGACATGTTCCTTGGACTAATGGCATGATTTTTACATGTACAAATTTTTTTTCTCGTCATTCATATACTCATTACGATGAAAAAGAGTTTGAGCCTAAACCTATTTAAATATTAATAAAATTTATATTAATTCTAAAGCAAATATTAATTTCCGTATTCAAAAAACAAAATAGGGAAACCAAATTATTTTACCATTAGTAGATAGTGTTAATAAAAAAAAATTTATTCAAGACATTTATAACGGGATTTAATACCAACTAGTCATTTCTAGGTGGCAACCGCAAAATTAATTCGATTTCGATAATAGGTTTTAGTATCACTCATAACTAAAAATGTTGTTTCCCATATGTAAGCTGAAGAAAAAGGCAACAAAATCTTAATTGTTATTGCATAAAGATGGGGATATCTTTTTTAGCTTTTATCCAGATTTAATATTTGTTCATTGAATTAAAGTGTGAACTTAATCCTAGATCTGAAGATAGTTCAATAAGTTTTCCTTCTGTAATTATAAGATTACAGAGCCATGAATAGCATTTGTGGACCAGTGGTTGAGAACAGTATTATAAATCATATTAAAATTAAAAATTGTTCATTGCATTTTCCTTTGGTCTTACTCGCTACGAAGCGACTCAAAACAATAGTGAAAACTTAAAAAAAATGTCCCATGAAATTTATTAAAGTGTTACAAAACTCGGCTTGTGTTACAAGTTATGAAAAAATTACTTTTAAAGAATGTTTATTTTGAGTTTAAATCACGAAATTACAAAATTATTTTCACGCAAATAAAATTTCAGAACTATATTGAGTTGAATGAAGTCATAACTACGCGAAGAGTATGGTCGAAACTACCAGAATTATGGTAAAATTTACCGTGCTTTTAGATGTACGGCCAAAAGCTCGGTAATTTTTACCGAAGTGCTTTCTAATGATGTTGATAGAATTAACAACAAAAAATGTTTCATAATGAGTGATAACATTTGGTAAATTAGGAAAAATTTGGTAATTTTATCGTGAAACTTAAGAAGAGTTTTGCATAAAAACCACTTATTCGGTTAAATTTACTTTTCAGATTTGTATGTTTTACTAAATGTGTGGTAACAAGAATTACAATTCTGAAAACCTGAATTACAGGTAAATCATTGCCATATGAACTGAAAAATTACTAAATGAATGGCTTACAAACCGTATATTTTTAATTAACAAAAAAATGCATTTTTTTTTTACCAGGAATGTCATGACCATACACTACGGTAATTTAAGCAAACCCCCGAGGACTCTATAATCAGTGAATAAAAAATACTAAGCTTATTAGCTAAGCAACCACAAATGTAACATACGAATTACGCGTAAACTTAGTCCTTGACATTAATCAATTCTGAAAGTTTAGTCTCAAGAATGGAGCTTCAAAAAATAACAGCAGGAAAGAAACATATTTAGTGATACAAAGGAACTTTTTTAATGATATATTTGTTCCTACTAGGAAATTTTCCTTTCTTTTAAACATATTTGTTTTTATCAAGAAATTTTTATGACTTGAAATCTTTCATAGGGAAAAATTTGCAAGACAAATAAATAAAATTCCCCACACACTTTTTAAATAAAGTAACTTTAATTAATCAAAACACTTAACGGTGATTATATTTGCCCTACTAGAAAGAATTTTATCACCATTTATGTTAATTTGTTCTTAAAATGAGCTATCAGCTTTACAAGCAAAGCTAAGCACACAAGCAAAGTTGATTTTCATTGTACTTGTAAGATTCTTCGATAAAGTTGTGGATAAGTCAGCCAGACAACGGCGGGCATTGTCTTCGTTATGACGTAACGAATTCCTTAATTTTTACGTTTACGCTTACTTTTTTTTTCTTTTTTTTTTTTTTTTAAATCTTACATGAACGATTGCTGAACATGAACAATAAAATGGTCATCTTGGAAAAAATTAAAATTTTAAAGCATATATGATAGCGTATGATAATATAAATTCTTAAGCTACTGCTTATTTTTGAACTAATAAATTGTGTAACTTGTTAAACTCTTAACAGACAATTTTCTCATTACGTAATGAAATTATCGCTATACTTGCACGTTAGTTTTTAAAATAATAAAAAAACCTTTTACATTTTATAATCGAGGCTTGTATCTATTCGTGCAAACTTGAAATATGTAATTAATAATTTTTAAAAATCAAAATTTGTGCAGAAACAAATCAAATGATCTAAAAATGTGTGCGACTTATTTAACAATCAAATGTCCTTTATTATTTTTAATAAAATTTTTGCTATAGTTATGTGTTGCTGTTTAAAATTATAGAAAATATTTAAAATTATAAAATTCATAACTAATACTTGTAATTAGACGTGTACATTTTTTATAATGTGATCAATTATTTTCAAAAATTAATTATTTAATTAATATAGCAGTCTATGTCATAATAACATGAGTTTTTAATCATCGAAATTATTTTCACCGAATATAAATATTAAATCAAATATCAAAATGAAATATGAAATATCAACTATCT